ACGGGACCCAAAATTAAAAATCTAAATACACGGTTAGATTTGGCATATCAAAGAACCCCAATAATTAAATTTTTGATGAAATCAAACAAAGTTTAATTATGGACCCTTTTGACCTCAATATGAACCAATTTGATAGCGGGCCCACAAATAAAAAATCTAATTACATGGTAAGATTCAGCATATCAAAGAACCCCATATATTCAATTTTTGTTGAAATCAAACAAAGTTTAATTTTGGACCCCAATTTGGACCAACTTGAAAACTGGGCCAAAAATCTAAAATCTAAATACATGTTTAGATTCAGCATATCAAAGAACCCCATATATTCAATTTTTGTTGAAATCAAACAAAGTTTAATTTTGGACCCCAACTTGGACCAACTTGAAAACTGGGCCCATAATCAAAAATCTAAACACATGTTTAGATTCAGCATATCAAAGAACCCCAAAAATTCAATTTTTGTTAAAATCAAACTAAGTTTAATTTTGGACCCTTTGGACCTTAATGTAGATCAATTTAAAAAACGGGACCCAAAATTAAAAATCTAAATACACGGTTAGATTTGGCATATCAAAGAACCCCAATAATTAAATTTTTGATGAAATCAAACAAAGTTTAATTTTGGACCCTTTTGACCTCAATATGAACCAATTTGATAGCGGGCCCACAAATAAAAAATCTAAATACATGGTAAGATTCAGCATATCAAAGAACCCCATATATTCAATTTTTGATGAAATCAAACAAAGTTTAATTTTGGACCCCAATTTGGACCAACTTGAAAACTGGGCCAAAAATCTAAAATCTAAATACATGTTTAGATTCAGCATATCAAAGAACCCCATATATTCAATTTTTGTTGAAATTAAACAAAGTTTAATTTTGGACCCCAACTTGGACCAACTTGAAAACTGGGCCCATAATCAAAAATCTAAACACATGTTTAGATTCAGCATATCAAAGAACCCCAAGAATTCAATTTTTGTTAAAATAAAACTAAGTTTAATTTTGGACCCTTTGGACCTTAATGTAGACCAATTTAAAAAACGGGACCCAAAATTAAAAATCTAAATACATGGTTAGATTTGGCATATCAAAGAACCCCAATAATTCAATTTTTGATGAAATCAAACAAAGTTTAATTTTGGACCCTTTTGACCTCAATATGAACCAATTTGATAGCGGGGTCCACAAATAAAAAATCTAAATACATGGTTAGATTCAGCATATCAAAGAACCCCATATATTCAATTTTTGTTGAAATCAAACAAAGTTTAATTTTGGACCCCAATTTGGACCAACTTGAAAACTGGGCCAAAAATCAAAAATCTAAATACATGTTTAGATTCAGCATACCAAAGAACCCCATATATTCAATTTTTGTTAAAATCAAACAAAGTTTAATTTTGGACCCTTTGGACCTTAATGTAGACCAATTTGAAAACTGGACCCAAAATTAAAAATCTAAATAAACGGTTAGATTCGGCATAACAAATAAATAAATGTGGTCAAAGATTTTACAAATCTAATGCGCCATACTGGTCTTCCTTTATAAATATTCATTTCTTTAAACATAATTTAAAAGCAGTGTAAGGGAAGTAACCAAAACGTATTTGGATTACCTCCCTTACACTGTTTTAAATTATCTTAATTGTTCATTAACCATTACTTTATACATAATTTAAAAGCAGTGTAAGGGAGATATTTTCAATGATGTATTTGATTTATCTCCCTTACACTGCTTTAAATTATGTTTTGTACTAAAGTAGTTGTCCATTAATGAGGACAACCTTGTTTTTCCCCCTTTTTTGCCCCTAATTCTTAAACATTTTGAGCAATAACCCCCCAGAGCAAATCCTAACCATCCCTTTGTGGTATGGAAACTTGTAGTATAATTTCAGAGAGATCCATACACCGTTCCACAGTTATTGTCTGGAAACTAGAAAATGCTTATTTTTGGCCCCTTTTTGGCCCCTAATTCCTTAACTGTTGGTACCATAACCCCCAAAATCAATCCCCACCTTCCTTTTGCGGTATTGAACCTTATGGTAAAATTTCATAGAGATCCATTCACTTAAACTAAAGTTAGAGTGCGAAAACTAATGCGTATTCGGACGACGACGCCGGACGACGACGACGCCAACGTCATACCAATATACAACCACAAAAAATTTTTTGCGGTCGTATAAAAATATAGTGTCAAATCTTTCATATAGATTTTTTTGTAAAATAAAATGATGCAACATTTGCAGATATTTTTACTGGTCTTCCTTTATAAATATGCATTTCTTTAAACATAATTTAAAAGCAGTGTAAGGGAAGTAACCAAAACGTTGTATTTGGATTACCTCCCTTACACTGTTTTAAATTATCTTTATTGTTCATTAACCATTCCTTTATACATAATTTAAAAGCAGTGTAAGGGAGATAATTTCAATGATGTATTTGATTTATCTCCCTTACACTGCTTTAAACTATGTTTTGTACTAAAGTATTTGTCCATTAACCAGGACAACCTTGTTTTTCCCCCTAATTCCTAAACGGTTTGAGCCATAACCCCCCAAAGCAAATCCTAACCATCCCTTTGTGGTATGGAAACTTGTAGTATAATTTCAGAGAGATCCATACACTGTTCCACAGTTATTGTCTGGAAACTAGAAAATGCTTATTTTTGGCCCCTTTTTGGCCCCTAATTCCTTAACTGTTGGTACCATAACCCCCAAAATCAATCCCAACCTTCCTTTTGTGGTATTTAACCTTATGGTAAAATTTCAAAAAGATCCATTCACTTAAACTAAAGTTAGAGTGCGAAAACCAATGTGTATTCGGACGACAACGCAGGATGACGACGCCGGACGACATCGACGACGACGACGACGCCAACGTCATACCAATATACGACCACAAAAATTTTTTTGCGGTCGTATAAAAATATATAAATTATGCTTAATACTTTATTAGGCAAAAAAAACATATGTCTGTGTCCTGCTTCCAACCATTTCAAAATAGGGTCAGTAGGTCTGGATTTTATTTAATTCTTTTCATGTCAATAAAGTCTGGAAATATTTCATGTTTTCTCTGAGTTTGATCCCGTTTCACACTTATGCATCTGTTAATTCGTGCATGCGTGATGATACATGTAAGTTTATGATTTTCAATGATTTAATTGACAAGTTCTACACTCGATATGCGTTGATCTTATTACAAATTTTTAGTGAATAATCCAGTGGAAATTGGATTCTTTGTCAAATAAGAAGGCTAATAATACTTATCCTTGAATAATTTTTTAGAAAGGCAATAAAATATTTTAGGGTCGGCGATCAAATTAGTGTCCCTCTAGAGGCAGGAAACAAGCATATATTTTTTATGGCCTTATACATCTACATTTGTTTTAATCAATCATTTGACAATAATACCAAATTAGCTTTGTAAATATCAACAATAATCATAAATAATTAAAAATTAATAATTTATCAACTAAAAAATAAAAATCATTAAAAAAAATCATTAAATTTATTCATCAAAATATATATTTTGACAGATATTCATCTAAAAAAACATCTAATAATTTAACCTGTATAGATTATTAAGGATTTGATTGACACAATTTGAACAAGAGCTACATCCCTTATTTCTGCTTTTTGGAGGTCTAAGGTCAAATTCCTTCATAAATCAGCCAAATTTAACTTGTTATACTGACCGCTATATTTTAGAAAAAGGTTTTTTATGAACCCTTTTTATTTCTTAAACTACGCGGCTTAATTCGTCAATTAGAATTAGAAAGGATCTCTTATCAGACTTGTGTGTATCGCATTAGTTCAAATAATTATGATGTCTTGAAAGGCTATTTAATTTTTTGTTATCATGGCTGTGATACCTTCCTACGAGGCGTCACAGCAAAAAATAAAATAGCCTTTCAAGATGTCATAATTATCTGGACTAGTATATTAAAAAAATCAACTGTTTATCCCTCCAAAAAAGGCGACCAAGAGAAATAACTCAAAGTCATAGGAAGGCGTCACAGCAAAAAATTAAAATAGCCTTTTAAAACGTCATAGTTATTTGGACTAGTATACGATGCAGTCCAGTAAATCCCCCCACATAAGGCTTTGATCGTTGTATTTCTGCTTAATTATATACAAATTGTATCAAATTTAATATAAATCGATTCACTGACCATCTGACAAATCAACTTTGAGTAGTTTATATCATTTCACAAAAAATATCTGAAATAAATTATAAAATCAACAAAACAAGTGGGTCATCCGTGTTTTTATCGGAAATGTGTTTGTCCGGTAAATCCACCCATGCGCAGTAAATATGTATGGACATGATGGAGGGCCAGTTTATCACAAATTTATGAAAGGAAAAGGTGATCTGATTTATTAATAGACCACTTATAAAGAGATTCCAGATAACATGGATAATACAAAAAAAAATTTCAAGTCAGAAATGAGTTAAAATGTAAGCAATAATATGAGTATCGTTAGCTTTAGGAATTGTATTATATATATCACTAGATATTTTCCTATTAAAGGATTTTTCTTTAAAATTTTACATGCAGTGATGATAAGTACAGTTCCTATGAATAAAATAGCAGACGAAATATTCAGGGAAGTGACAATTATGGAAGAAATGGGAGTGGGTGGGTTTAACGGAAGGGCTAAATTACCTGACACTACTGTAGTATGCTTTATTTTGGCTAGTCAATTAACAAAACCAAACATTTATCCCTCCAAAAAGGCTGCCAAGGGAAATAACTCAAACTCAAATTAGTATTACATCATTCGTAACTTATCTATGTGAACAAACCTAGGGTGTAAAGGTGTAGGATGTGAACGTGTTAAGTGAGCGAACTGCCCAGATACCGTTAAAAAGGGGAGGGAAATCCAGTCTGTGTTACAGATAAATTTCAACATTGGTTTTTGTAATTATTTATAAGAGATTCTGATCAAAGAACACAGACTTCTATTAAATGATTATGCAAATTTAAGCCTTACACCTTATTTCTCCATGACAATACTTTATTTGGATAACATGCTATTTCAAATCTCTTTCCTCCCTTTTTCATCCGCACCACTGCAACATTTGTCAATCTTTTCTGTCCTGTCGGCTGAAAAACAGCCATTCTTCAATCCACAAATTTTACAAATCAAATATTTTAATTGCAGCTGTCAAGACGCGTTGAAAAACTTAACTTTTCCAAAAACTGCCAAATATGAGCATTTGCATGCCTGTCAGCAATACCGGAAGTTATTGTTTTCTGTAGCGTTTGTGGTTTCAACGTAAAAGAGTTCTTCTGCAGGTGCGCAAATGAAAATGATTGACAGTTGATGAATCAGGGATTAAAAGTTGCTGAGGATAATGATGTAACTATGTAGAAGAAAACAAATATTTCGTTAAGGATCTTGTATACATTTTTTCGATAATGGAGGATTGACAATGACAAACAACAACAACAATACACCTCCAGTATCTATACATGAGTTAATACAGGTATTTTGATGCACATTACAGACTACACTTGTATATTTTGCTCACATGCCCTTGTTTCATGAGAAGAAAGAAGGAGGGAGCTTTAATCATGGCATGAAACAAGTGCCTGTGATCATGCTGCATGCTCAGAATAAATAAACATTATACATAACAAGTGTTCACTCATACAGTCATAATTTATACATGTTTCAAGTCCTGCTCATAACACATTTGATGTTGGATTAAAAATTTCTGTATCCGATCAGATAAATGAAGTTATGATACTGGATGATGCTGTCAATATTAGTTTTCTGTTTTACCTGACACATCAAAACCAAGCAGTTTGATTGAGTCAGCACATGCAGAATATAAACTTTTACATGTTAAAAATATATTATTATGATATACTCTGTACAAGTGCCTGCAGATAAGCTTAAGATAAATTTGGCAGTTGTTAAAAATTGGGGCAAGGAAAAGTTCAGAATATATATTGAAAAAATTGCCCTGAGAGAATTTTTTCTTAAATTTTGGGAACACCAAAAAGAGTTAGGCTTGGACTCTGGTAAACTTCACATTTTATAGATTAAAAACTAGCTTCTGACAATAAGCCTATTTTAAAAGTATATTGGATTTCAAACCCGTAATATTATAACCAAATATAGATAAAGTGCACACCAACTTCGTATAGAAACTGGGCGATACGAAAAAAAGAAAATTAATGAACATTATTAGTGCCGCTGAAAAGAGAAGATCGATTAAGCACTCATTGAACAAAATGTACATTATCCAAAGTTAAGAATGAACATTTCATGCTTGAATGTCCACTCTATGCCAATGAACATCAACAAATGACAAATAAAATTGTTCAATTATGTCAAAACTATTTATTGTTAAACAATTGGCAAACATTTTATTGGCTTTTCAATAATGAAGACAAAACCATTTTATGTATACTTGCAAACTAATTATGAAATAAGAAACAAGGACATTCTTTAAATATATGTTTACATATTATTTCTGTTAACATTTTGTATTATGACATCATACAAAAGATTTAAACTGTATCCTTAAATCTTTTAATATAGTTACACATTTGTACTATTAATAACATCATATGTCAGAACATAGTTTATGTTATTGCTATTGCTATTTGGATCATTCTATTCTCATAACAATTTTATGTATGTATCTGTATGCCCCACAGAAGGGCTCCGAATTGGAAATAAAATACAATTAATGTTTAATGTAGGGCCCTGCTTACATTTGGGTACTAGTCAACATACATGTACATGTGCCGCATCCGAACTCACAACCTCATTTTTATCAGACTAGTGATTGATGATGAACATGAACTTCTTAGTCCAGGGTTTTTAAATTTGTTGGTTAATGGATTTCTAATGTTTGAGATTCCAATCGGTTGATAAAAAAAACCCATAAATATGTATCGAATTACAGTGTGCATTTGTACTTCAGCATTATTACAATATTTGTGTTCTCCTTTTTTGTCAACAATCCTTAAATATTAGTGGCAAACATTTTTTCGCAGCTGGCTTTAAACAAACAGTGCATGTCATTGTTAGCTTATCCAAAATAGTTCAAAATAAAATCTTATGGAATTATGACAAAAAATGAAAACAAACTATTGTTTAAAGGGCTTTTCACATAGGTTTTCGTTCAGTTAAATTATTTCCGTAAACAACATTTCCAAATCTGTTCAATTGTCTATTTTTTTGGTTTAAGTATAATACAAATATTCACATAATTTGAGATAAATGCTACTACGCAGATATTTTTATTTAGATTTCAAGGATAATGAAATTGGTAGAGACAGTAGGGAGAAAAAAAAACCAGTTACATGAAATTTGAATTTAATTTATTGTTTCTGAAAATCAAGAAAATTGGGTCTGCGGATCTGTAAACCAATAATTGAAACTTATTCTTTGAAGTTATCAATTTAAAACTGTAGTAAGAAAAACTGAATATTATATTTTCATCAGAGTCTGTATTTCTGTGGTTGTCATTGGTTCCTGTCTATCATATTTGTTTTTCGTTTATTGTTCATGTTCTTTTATCATAAATCAAGCTGTTGGTTTTCTCTTTTGAATTGTTATACATTTTGTCATGACAGTGCCTTTTATAGCTTACAATTCATTATGGGTTTTGCTTATATTGTAAAAGGCTTTACAGTGACCTACATGTATAGTCAAATAATAGTTGCTTACATCTTTGTGCATCCACATCATTTGGTCTCTGGTGGATAGTTGTTTCATTGGCAATCATACCACATCTCCTCAGTTTTTATTATCATCCTCTACTACATATGCTTCATGTCCTTTGGGATGCTCTTTTTATCTGTAGTATTTAATACCTTTAAGTTACATGTATAACTTATAGGGCTATGCACAAAGAACTTTAAATGTAGTATGCTTCAATCAGAAGTTTTTTAATTATTTTTTTTGGATCATTTATAGACATACATTTTGTAAGTAACATGAAGTCTAGAAAAAAAAATTAAGTTACTAAATTTAATGTTAAGGGAAAGGTCTTACATAGAGTTTGTATCATGTTTATTTCACCAAAAAACGATTTCCTGATCATTTTTATACGCCTGTTTACGGGACGTATTATGGTATACCGTTGTCCGTCTGTCCGTCTTTCCGTCTGTCCGTCCGTCTGTCCGTCGTCAACATGTCGGACATTAACTAAAAAATGCTTTAACTAATTTGCATAAAACTTTGGTGAATTGTTTATATCTATTGACGTGAGCTCCCTTTCTTTTTTTATAAAATTTAGATTTTACGTTTCCGAGTTGTGGGGTTTTATTCATTAAAAAAAGGGGGATTTTCCAGTTTTTGGACAATAATTCAAGAATGCTTTCACCAACTTGCAAGAAATTGTGGTGAATTGTTTATATCTATTGACATGAGCTCCCTTTCAGTTTTTATAAATTTTAGATTTTACGTTGCCGAGTTGCAGGGTTTTATTCATGAAAAAAGGGGGGATTTTCCAGTTTTCGGACAAAAACTCAAAAATGCTTTCAGCAATTCTAATGAAACTTTGGTGAATTGTTTGTATGTATTGATGAAAGCTCCCTTTAGAATTTTATAAATTTTACATTTTACATTTCTGAGTTATGGGGTTTTATTCATTAAAAAAAGGGGTGATTTTCCAGTTTTCGGACAATAACTCAAAAATGCTGTCACCAATTCTCATGAAACTTTGGTGAAATGTTTATATCTATTGATGTAAGCTCCCTTTTTATTTTCATAAATTTCTAATATGACATTGAGAATTAATTGAACTTTATTTGTTTATAGTCTGACAACAGATTTACTAAGTATTGCACAACAGCAAGAAATCTTTAATTGAATATAAATTCAATTCATATAAACAATTTCAAGATCTTTGACTACATTTATTCAGAAACCTATAATATGTCAAATATTTAATTACAATCCAAATTCGGACCTGAATCAAGCTTGAATATTGTGTCCATTTTTGTCCCAACTGTTCAGGGTTGGACCTCTGCGGGCGTATCTAGCTGCGCTCAGCGAAGCAGTTTATTTTATATACATATACAATATTGTTTAACGAAACAGCAAGTATTTTTTTCACACAACATTTATTCCCTTTGACAAATGGTTAATGATCTGTGAAGACTTTAACAAGTTTATTAAAAAATGTTATTTTTTTATCTATTTGTATATCGATCGTATTCCTTGCTCTCGGGCTAGTACTGATAGGCTTGTTGGAAGTTTTTATCGTTTTTATGTTATAATGTACATCAGGCTTTGACAGTTTGGCTTGTTACATTGTATATATATTTAGCAAGTTTAAAAAGTTCACCATTTACAGTTAAATGGGAAACTGGAAACAATTGAAGAGAAGTGGCAGCAGATAAGTGAAAGTTTGTTCTTTCTCCCCTTAAGTCCAAAGACCTGGGGTATGGGAGAAAACTCTACAAGTGCAATCTTTTTTTCAGTGCTGTGTACTGTGTACTGTTAAAGACATATAAATGTGTACAGTTTTTGTGGTTATGAATAATTTGATGACTTTTCATTTCTGAGAAATCTTAATCATTATTCATAAACAGATATTAAAATTAAGTGTCGTTTTTTTCTTATATACATGTGCATGTACATATATATATATATATATATATGTAGGACAGCAATAACAATGTTCAAATTTTAATTTTCCTGGCAGAAAATTGGAAGTAAAATCTTGACACCTCCTTCACTAACTCCTTTAAGAAAATCTTTATTTTTTCTACGATGTATGTCCTACATGTATAATTTACATTCTAACTGAATAAATATTTTTCAGCTGTCGAACATTGGGATACCTCCTGACCAAGTAACATGGAACAGAGTGACGATGACGTCAGATAGATGGATTGCCATTCGACACTGCAACAAGGAGGATTCTTCATCTATGGTAAAACAAAAATTGAAGTAAAATTTTCACCATATTGAAGAGTTTAAATTTTATTAGGGATGACTTGCATTCCCACTTAAAATATTATTTGTAAACACCACACCAAATGGTGAACAAATTATAACATGTAGGTTGAGTCACCTGAAATAATTTGTTGGTTTTTGTGGGTTTTTTTTTTTCTCAGACGCATTTTATGTAATTCTTATAACAAATGTATAACTTTTTAAAAAAATTTGCTGAAACAGATTTAAGTGGACAATTTTTTAATCGCTGACCTGCCATCTCTTATTATAAACAATTAAGACTTTGAAATGTGCCAATGAATTATAAAGCCAATGTGTTATAAATTCAGTGTCCCAATTTTATTTTATTCCACTCTAAAAAAAAACTAGGGAAACCTCTACTTCATTATTGCATCATTTTACTGATGATGAGTGTAATATTAAATTGGACTATCATCTTACATTATATATCTCTTCAAACATGTTAAATGTACTTCATATAATGGATCCTATTCTTTTATATACATGCTCAATAAACTTACTAATGGGTCAATGTATAGTCACAGTCGAATACACTTAATTGATGATATGGCCTAATGTTTTGAAAGTTGTGTTAAACACCAATAATCAATCAATCAATCATTATATACTCTAGGTTTTTGTATTTCCTAAGAAATATGCCATGCAGTATTGTTTCCAACTTTCAAATTACTGATAACCATTTTGAAGTACTATAGTGTGCTTTTAACAATATGTAAATCTATCAAAACTAAATCAGTACTTTTGATTACTTATAGTTATTTTCTATTTAGAAATTGTTTATTTATTCATATTTTATATGGCAAACATAAGAATTGAAATAATTTAGTGAATCAGCACTTTTTAAAACAAATTAGACAAGTCCATGAATTTTTGACTCAAGAAATTACAACTGGACTCACAATTTTCTGAATTCTTGAATCAAAAATGGCATCAAGGTTCAGTTTAATCACTATTCCATTAAAACAAATTAAGACAAATCTGATGAACATGAAGGAATATAAAATTTCTAAATTTAGTTTTTTTTTTCAATTTGTCTTGATATTACAACCTTATCATTAATCATGAAAAAGGTACTGATCTTGTATTTTTTTACCACAACTTTTGACTCATCAGGTCTAAAAAGATGGAGTCCCTCAGTTACACATGTAAAAAACACTAAATGTTCTGTGCATTTGTACAATGTATTGGAGAAAAAACCTATGTTGGACTTTTTCTATAGTATATATTCTAAATATACCTTATAAAATCATTAATTAGAATTTACCCATTAGTGTTATTGAGAGAGAGTAAAATATCTATCTCATCAACATAAAAACAGATTTTATCAGACTAGAAAATGTGACAGAAGTGGTTTTTCAAATTAAGTGAAAATTGAGATAATTTGATTATCATCGCTGCAGTAGCCAGCTAACTATTTCCTGTATGTAATAACATGGGAAGGTTTATTTTTCTACATTTATTGTCAACATCCTATTGTGATTTTATTAAATCTTCCTCTATAACATGCATAATTTTACAGTAAAATCTGTTTTGTTTTTTAATTTTTTATTTAGGATGTAATATAAGTATAAGGTTGGCTTGATATGTTTTCAACTTCACTTAATATTTTGTTACCCTTGTAACTTGTTTCTAGACTATGCATTAACAACATAAGCTCACCAACTCCTTAATTTTTAGTTTAAAAAGATAGACCTTATATAAATATTTCGAATTGAAATTCTAGTAAAATACTTTGAATTTCTTGATAAATAGTAAAATGGGTAATTTCAAACAGATTCATCTTTCATTTCATCCCATGATATTTCATTACTCTTATTTGTTGTTATCTTTTAATTTTAAAAGCAAATATTCTTTAAAAGGATAAGTCTTATTATTTACAAGCATTCCTTTGTTACTATTACAGTACAATTTTGTTTATCAAAATTATTAATCTGGATTTATTGTTTTATTATGAATTATTAAGTTTACTCTGTACATATTTTTTTCTTTCTCACAGTTAATATGCTTTACTAAGTCACCTTAAAAATCACAAAATAAACCATATGTTAAACTCTTTCAATGGTTCATTTAAATTTTTATGCTCATGAAATACTTATAGACAGAATCCTTTCAAAAACTGTTCAGGTAACAGCATAAACCGTGTCATATTTTAAGTTGGAGTTGGAAATAAGGTCAAATTCGGCTTAAAAGATGATGATCGAATGCCATCCAAACATCTGGACTTCAACATTTCAGTTTCAGTAAAATTCTGTTGACCATAAGGATTTACCAAGCAGGACTAGATAAACCCAATAAGATGAAATTTTGGCATAATTTTTGGTTTCTGGATATTATCTTTTGAACCATACGCCCAACTTTCACTAAACTTGGTTTGGGAGAACAACATGGAATTTCACAGCAGCTATTGGTTCATAGACAAAAATTTGGGTGAAATTTCGATTTCCAGATATCTTTTGAACCATGTGTCTTACTTTTACTAAACTTGATTTGGTAATGCCCCAAAAGATGGTAGTAAAGATCTCAATTGATTTTGAGGTCAATAGGTGAAAGGTCACAGTAAAAGTAGCCATTGATAGGGGGAAATATTAGGTTTCCAGGCAATATCTGTTAAAGCACATGTCCAATTTCACCAAACTTAGTTAGAGTATACCTTATGGACTTGATGGAAAGAACAAGAAAAAGATTATTAGGTCAGTATAGGTCAAGGTTACAGTACTAAATAGACTGAAATTTTTGGAGGACAATATCTTTCAGCCTTAAATCCGGTCTTTTACCTATATTTTGTTGGTAATGAATCTTTGTGTGAAAAATACACAGTACACACAGAATGATTCCGTTGTAATTTACTCTTGCTGGTACTGTGGATTCATTATTATTCAAGGGGTACTAATATGAAGGGTATAGGTAAATCGCCATTTTAAATGTTCAAATGAGGTAAATTTTTGTAGGTTTATATAAAAAAGATGATATGGTATGATTGTCAATGAGACAACTCGCCACAAGAGACCAAATGACACAGAAATTAACAACTATAGGTCACTGTACGGCCTTCAACAATGAGCAAAGCCCATACCGCACAGTCAGCTATAAAAGGCCCCGAAATGACAATGTAAAACAATTCAAACGAGAAAACTAACGGCCTAATTTATGTTGTATGCACATGTACATGAAATCAAATATCCACTAAAATACAGTTTTATCTCAATCATCAAAAACTGGTACCCACGAAAATAAATTCATCAACAGAAATCTCCCTGAAACAGAGTGGTTGCTGATGATTTTGAGTAACAACACACTGATTAATTACCCTGACATCAGTGTATGTAATACCAATGGAATTTATAGAAAGATGTTTCCAAATGAATCACTCACAATCACTAGTATTCAAGGTGAAAAATCACTACCATGAGTGGTTTTTGACTGAACCATCCTGTGTGTACCCACTTTGAATATACCTAACACTGACAATATTTATTACATTTTTAGGTGACAGTACTAAATCCTAAGGAGGGCAGTATATCATATGTAGGACAGACCACAGCAGACTCAGTACAGATCAACCCCACTGAACCAGTCATAGCATTAAAAGGTAACAGCTCAAGTGACCTATGTATTTAAACCGCAATTTGTATTTATGCTTTATATTTTAAAGATTTTTTACCACCCTTGGTTTTCATTCTGTGGTGAACCCTGATATATATAGATTTTTCAAGATCCAAGATTAAAGCCATACATGTTTTTAATTCCACACTAGCTGGAATAAAATGGGTATACATATTTCTAAAATATATAGATCTGTGCCTTTATACTTTTACGATGAACATGATCATAAGTGGTTTGTTTTTAAAGGCCGAGCCTTAATGCCTTTAATGGTATCAACCAATAGCCATTTCGTTTCTACGTGGGGGTAAATACGTCATCATAACAATCCCGAAAAGTGGAATTCTTTCTTCTTCTATTTGTAATATTCTGTGGTTTTTTTTCTAATTGCAGCTGGAATACGATTTGAAGTATTTAATTTTAATACAAAACAGTTAATAAGTAAAACAAAACTGCATGATCCTGTAGTATACTGGACATGGCTGAACACAGAGGTCATTGCTATGGTTACAGAAACCCTGGTATATCATTGGCCAATATGGGAAGGTATGTTAATATAATGTACTATACATAAACACGATTATCAAAGATTATGTACAGCACGACAAACCACACTAACAACCAACACCCCACTTGTTTATGATCCAGAAGTAAATTTTGTAAAAAAAAAATCCTGTTTATCCATATTTTACTTATAAATGGACTTAGTTTTTCTGCCAGTTAACATTACATTCACTCTGTGGTTAAAGTTTTTAAAATTTAAATAACTTTCTTAAACTATCCTGGATTTGTACCAAACTTGAACAGAAGCTTGTTTATGATCAAAAGCTAGTATCTAGAAGAAAATTTTATAAAAAATTATTTCCTGTTTTTCCGTATATTACTTATAAATGGACTTAGTTTTTCTTCCTGTTAACATTACATACAGTCTGCAGTTAAAGTTTTTAAATAGATATAAGAAGATGTGGTATGAGTGCCAATGAGACAACTCTCCATCCAAGTCAAAATTTATAAAAGTAAACCATTATAGTTCACAGTACGGTCTTCAACACAGAGCCTTGGCTCACACCGAACAGTAAGCTATAAAGGGCCCCAAAAATTACTAGTGTAAAACCATTCAAACAGGAAAACCAACGGTCTAATCTATATAAAAAACGAGAAACGAGAACCACATCAACAAACGACACTACTGAACATCAGATTCCTGACTTAGGACAGGTGCAAACAAATGCAGCGGGTTGAAACGTTTTAATGGTACCAAACCTTCACCCTTTTTCTGAAACAATAGTGTAACATCACAACATAGAAAGACACACTATAAAATATCAACTGAAATAGCTTAACTCAATCAAAGGACATATTAACACCAGTGAACAAACACTGAACAAATAAATTTGACCTATGATACAATGTAAATACAAAATAAATAAATTAAGGGAAGAATAATAAAAGTAACATGTAATAACGGTATGAAATGTTCAACAATTTAAGAAAAACAATATGCTCGAACAAAAATATCAGTCATTTGCAATAACTTTAAACACAGGTAAATGAAAATAATTTTGTTGTTAGGTATACGTGTACAGTTCCAATAGAGAAAGGAAATATTTTTACAAAATAAATAATTTCGATGTTCATGGTTAAGAAGTGAAAAATTATAGTAATACCAAACACTTATCAAAGCTAAACATTTATTAGATTCATAACATCCTGGATTTTTACCAAACTTGGACAGAAGCTTCTTACAATCAAAAGATTACAACAGCAAAAGTAGACGAGACACTGGGTTCCGCGGAACCCTTATAAATTTTTTTTCTTGGAAGACTCAACTAATTTTATCATATCAAGCATTTGCTTACATTTCCTAGTATTAAATAAAATTGATATATCATGTATATTGATAATATAACATTCTATTTTTAGATTGTGCTCCTGAAAAAATGTTTTTAAGACATCAAAGACTGGAATTTACAGAAATAATAAGTTACAAGGCAGATCCCAGTTTAAAATGGCTGGCTGTTACTGGTTTGATGCCTGAGGTTTGTCACAATAAGTGAACTTTGCCAAGCAATTTAGTTAAGGATGTACTTAGGTGAAATTTAAAAAAAATCTAGAATTTAAAATTGATACTTTAAGTGAGAAGAGCATTAGTTAAGGAACAAAATAAGCAAAAATTATTGATAGGTTATAGGGCTCCTTTCCGAGATATTTAATTTTTTTTAAATGGCGGGAAAAGGCTGACTTAGACTTTTACCTTATATTTGCATTAGTATATTGAGTCTCAAATTGAAAGAAAATAAATCTAGAATCTGCTTAAATTTTGGTAAATGACTTTTTATGAGCTATTGAAGTCTTATATGAAAAGAAAAACGGGTGTTATGGGGCAAAATCTTTTACCCTGTATCGTAGGAAAAAAACCAAGGAGTCCAAACATCTGACAAAAATTCCTAAACCTGACCTAAGTACATCCTTAATCATATTTCTAGTACTATATTAACTTTCTCTTTGAGGACTAAAAACGGGAAAGAAGACACCAATGGGTCACCCAAATCATAATGGGTTTGTAAAATTTTAGAGAAGATGACATCCATTTTACCATCAAGAACCCTTGGTTCAATAGGTTCGTGTAAGCAGTAACCCTTTGAAAGTTATAATAGGAAACACAAGTTCCTGGAATATCCTATCAATTGGGTAATATTTACTCCATATACAGGTGCTGTCAGAATGTTGTAACAATAAACTGACAGCATATGTTTAACATCATTTTTTAAAGGAGTAGGGGCATTAAGGCCTGGTTTTGGCCCAAGAATATAAAATGTTTGACAACTATAATTTCAAATTGGCACATAATGTTTGGAAATGCATAGGGTCAAGATATATAAATGAAAAACAGAAAGATTTTTATCTGATGACGTCACAATTACGTCATTATACGTATCGTTTTCACAATAACGATGAAAAGTACAGAATTTAAGCAGTTTTCCATCGTTATTTCCATTGTGAAAACATCGTGCACAGCCAAGAAACAACTAAATAATTTAAGACAAGCTTTATTATAACTATTGACATAATCTTACCAAATATAAAGTTGTTTCATGGGTGCGCACATACTTTTCCAATCTAAAATATACTTAAAATTTGATGAAAAACAAGGAAAATCAAGAAATTTTACAAAATATGCAAATTTTGTCGTGGTTTGTTGCCATGGTAACTCGTTCAATGTGAAATTTGTTTTTATTTTCTGAATACCTTAAACCTTAGTATAATTTAGATAAAAATTTAAGAATATGTATGATAACTTTTAAATTTGCAGTAATATTAGGGCCAAATAAGGGCCTTATTGCCTCTACTCCTTTTCAAATATCTGATTCCAATAGAAAATATTTAGAATTTCATTTTTTTTATTTCACTAATTTCATACAGGTTGTAGTGTTTATGAATTAGTTGATTGAGTTGACCATGCCACAATTGGAGCAGGATCTGCTTACCCTTCCAGAGCACCTGAGATCACCCCAGTTTTTGGTGGGGTTTTCGTGTTGCTCAGTCTTTGATTTCTATGTTGTGTTCAGGGTTGGCAAACTATTACCTCGGGCGGGAAAAACCAGGTGGGAAAACCTGGGTTTTCCCGGGCTGGGCAATACTCCTAGAAACAGGTAGTACTGGGCAATACTGGGTAATATGATTTTTCAAGCTTATTTTTACACAAAATAGTAAAGACTTGTTGTAGTTTAATAGCATTATAGCTAAATATATACATTTTATACAGATAACCATTGAGAGTCATTTCTGAAGATTGAAAATTCAATTTCTTCCTTTTCTCCACTAATTCTATGTAGGCAAGAATACAAGTTTTGGACATATCAGGATACCTTGTTAATTTGCAAGCTTTGTTTCAATATTAAATCCAAGTTGAAAAAATGCATTTTAATGCAGTGTTTAAGTGAATTGTAAATTTTAATTGTTATACAATCATATTGCTAAATAAACACCCTAAGGGGACAGGCCATGAACACTTATAGAAATAAAAAGGCTGATTATTGTAATATAAACAAATCTGTATTATTATCTGAATAATTACTTATTAATTAGTGATGTACATAAACATATGCTCAAACTTAGTAAACATTTTTAGTAATGAACAAAAAATGTTTAAAAGTAATTTTCCTTACATAGATTTGTTAATTCTTAATATTAGTTATATTTATTTAAAAAAAAAAAATGAATTGCATTTGTGATTAATTACTGAATCCTCTTTAAAATTCAGGCCAGTATTTCATATTACCCAGTATTGCCCAGTATTACCCAGTAAAACCCAGTAAAACCTGAGTTTTCCCAGTATTTCCCACTGGGCTGGGCAATACTCATAAAACCCGAGTTTTTGTCAACCGTGGTTGTGTTTTGTGTACTGTTTGTTTGTCTTTTTCTTCTTTAGCCATGGCATTGTAAGTTTATTTTCGACTTGTGAGTTTGAATGTCCCTTTGGTATCCTACGCCTCTCTTTTTCCATAAATATGTATTAAGTGTATTTGACCTTTTCAGGAGGAGAAGATATCAGGGTTAACACAGCTTTACTATGTAGATGAGGACATTACTCAGTGTATTACAGCCCATGCAGTATGTTTTACTAATTACCAGTATAATGACAATCCGCTACCTTCAACAGTACTATGTGCTGCCACCAGAGATGCTGTGGATATAGGAAAGGTAAATGTATATATATATTACTCAGTATAACAACAATCCACTTCCTTCAACAGTACTATGTGCTGCCACCAGAGAAGCTGTGGATATAGGAAAGGTAAATGTATATATTACTCAGTAGAACAACAATCCTCTACCATCAACAGTACTATGTGCTGCCACCAGAGATGCTGTGGATATAGGAAAGGTAAATGTATATATTACTCAGTAGAACAACAATCCTCTACCATCAACAGTACTATGTGCTGCCACCAGAGACGCTGTGGTTATAGGAAAGGTAAATGTATATATATTACACAGTATAACAACAATCCTCTACCTTCAACAGTACTATGTGCTGCCACCAGAGACGCTGTGGATATAGGAAAGGTAAATGTATATATATTACACAGTATAACAACAATCCGCTACCTTCAACAGTACTATGTGCTGCCACCAGAGACGCTGTGGATATAGGAAAGGTAAATGTATATATATTACACAGTATAACAACAATCCTCTACCTTCAACAGTACTATGTGCTGCCACCAGAGACGCTGTGGAAATAGGAAAGGTAAATGTATATATATTACACAGTATAACAACAATCCTCTACCTTCAACAGTACTATGTGCTGCAACCAGAGACGCTGTGGAAATAGGAAAGGTAAATGTATATATATTACTCAGTATAAAGACAATCCGCTACCATCAACAGTACTATGTGCTGCCACCAGAGACACTGTGGATATAGGATTGGTAAATGTATATATATTACTCAGTATAAAGACAATCCCCTACTATCAACAGTACTATGTGCTGCCACCAGAGATGCTGTGGATATAGGAAAGGTAAATGTATATATATTATTCAGTATAACAACAATCCCCTACCATCAACAGTACTATGTGCTGCCACCAGAGACGCTGTGGTTATAGGAGGGGTAAATGTATATATATTACACAGTATAATGAAAATCCGCTACCTTCAACAGTACTATGTGCTGCCACCAGAGATGCTGTGGATATAGGAAAGGTAAATGTATATATATTATTCAGTATAAAAACAATCCCCTACCATCAACAGTACTATGTGCTGCCACCAGAGACGCTGTGGATATAGGAGGGGTAAATGTATATATATTACACAGTATAATGAAAATCCGCTACCTTCAACAGTACTATGTGCTGCCACCAGAGATGCTGTGGATATAGGAAAGGTAAATGTATATATATTACACAGTATAACAACAATCCTCTACCTTCAACAGTACTATGTGCTGCCACCAGAGACGCTGTGGATATAGGAGGGGTAAATGTATATATATTACACAGTATAATGAAAATCCGCTACCTTCAACAGTACTATGTGCTGCCACCAGAGAAGCTGTGGATATAGGAAAGGTAAATGTATATATATTACTCAATAGCCCTTTGAGAAAGTTCTCCCAGAAGCAGAATTTGCCTGAGCGACAGCCTCTAAAATGTGTATTCATTTGTAAAATAGGAAGATTCCCCACATGGTACTAACCTTGTTTTTAAGATAAAGAACAACCATAAAATTATTTTTCTTTGCTATATGTTAGTTTCTCAATAGATCATAGAAGATTAATTCGAAGTTGCATGAAATGAATTTTAGAGAACATTGTTAAAATTAATTAATCAATGTCTATATGAATTTCTCACTTTTAATAATTAAGGTATGTATGCCTTGTGCACATGTTCCTGGTAGTTTGTCAAAAGTTTTATTTTGAATTGTGTATATATGATATTTTCAGATCCATGTAATAGAGCTTGGTCCATACAAGCAAGGAAATTTTGCTCCCAGAAATAATTATGATCATGTGCAATTTTATGATGGTGCTGATACTTACGACTTCCCTGTCTCACTCCATGTAAGTATATATAGGATACCTATGGTAAATGGGGGGCCTCGGTGGTCAAGTGGTCTAAGTAGTTCTACTACTGTAATCACTAGCCAGTCAACACTGAGGTTGTGAGTTCGAACCCACGCTCGTGTGGGTGCACTCGACTCCAATCTTAATTGACTAGGATTGTCAGTTTTCCTATCGAAGGTCAGTTGTTTTCTCAGGACACTCTGGCTTCCTCCACCAATAAAAACTGGCCGCCATGAAATAGCCCAAATGTGGCGCTAAAAAGTGGCGTTAAAACACCAACAATCAATCAACCATATGGTAAATGATGTATTTTATATATTTTTATATCGTAAATTATGATAAACAAGAATAGATGTCCATAGAACACCATGTTCCACTTGCGCTATAATTTTCTTGTTCAGTGAATTGTGAAAAAGGCTTACAAACCATAATTTGGCATATAATTTAAAATCTACACACCATTTTGAACATGTGTAATAAGTTTCAAGTTGATGTGACCTTGATGGCATGGTGAACAACCTTAACCAAAACTTTAAACTGAGAATGGACAAGTTTCACCCTCTTACATCTTTATTTTCTCCTTTATTTCTTAGAAATTGGTTAACTTATGCATGAGTTTCCATTGAAAATACTTCTATACAATATCAAACTTTTTTCTCATCCTGTTGTTTATAGTGGCAAAATTATACATATTCTCAAAAAATGACATGTAAAAAAAACTATCTTGCATCTGGGAATAGTATATCTAACGGGAAATGAATCTGATAGGCTTTCCAGTATAAAATTTATACAATCCCGAACTTTACGAGACTTCGCAAGATTTATGGATTTTGGAAGCATCTGACTGAAAAACTATCAGAACTGGTCAATAAATTAACCACATAATTCCAAACATTGGACATATAATGAATTGATAAGTTTTATTGTAAAGTAGATATATTTTGTCATATAAAATGACCAATATAAGTGTGATGTGAAGTGTTATAAAATGGTTTGTGAAATTCGTGGCAGAATTTTTTTATTTCCCCGTTTGCTATCTGTACCCTTCTGTGATGTAATAAATGCGACTATGACAAATTTAAAGTGACAAATTACAAGTTCTATACACTGGCATCACTTATTACTTAGTTTGAATTACATTTTATTGATATGAACAGAAATTACTAAGATAATAGAGAGTATGTATTTTACACATGTCTGTTTCTGTATCTTGTCATTTATTAACTATGACCCGACAATAAAATCGGCTATAATTAGGTAGTGTCAAGTCCCGTCAATATATATCTTCCTGCTTGCATTTAGGACAAATCATATTTTATGGGAATGTTACTCTTAAGTACAAAGGGAAGGAATGCAGATACATTTGTTTATAGAAAAAATGTGGAATTAACAAAATAGACTATAAATCATTTTATTCCTTCATGTATAATAAATTTGATTGACACATAGAAAGTAAATTGAGTTATTTGAAATTTTATAATTTGAATTTTATTTTTTAGGTTTCCGAGAAGTACGGCTTATTATTCACCATCACTAAATATGGCTACCTCTACCTCTCTGATATGGAGACAGCTGCCTGTCTATGTTGTAATAAAATATCCAACTTCATCATGTTTACATCAACCCTCAACACTGATACACAAGGAATTATGGGTGTTACTAGAGGAGGTCAGGTGAGTTACTATGGAAACAATAATTCACATTGCTAATGTAAGTAATATCTCTTTAATGAGTCAAATCTGGTTTAAGGATGTTCGCTACTCTGTTTCAAAATAACAAGCTTTTTAAAAGACTGTTATAAATTGATAGTATATAAATGAAGAAACTAAAAAAGCAGAAAAAAATTAAGGGTCCGTGTTCTTGTTTTCGAGATATAAGCCATTGCAAATTTGGCGGGAAATGATTCTCTCTAGATTTTTCATACATTTAACATTGGCACCTTTTTTCTTTCAAAAACAATGAAAAAATAACAAGGATTTTATAAGATTTTCAAATGTGGCTTTTTAAACTAGATGTAATAATATTATGAAAAGAAAAAGTAGTGGTTAGCGGGCAAAATTTGTAATTGCACTATATGGATAAAACCAGTGGATTCCGAATGTCTGGCAAAAAAACAAAAACAAGAGGAGTGAACATCCTTAAGGACAGTATCCTTTGGAAAAAAATTTCTCCAGTTATCTTGGAGACATTCAGCGTGTTCTATGAAACACTACCTAGGAAGAAAGTCTGGGCTAATAGTATTTAATCTTCTATGTAATATTCAAAAGACGCTCTTCACATAATTTAGTTTAAATGCCAGTTGAAATTTTGTTCATGACTATTAATTTTTTACAGGTTATGACAATAAAGATAAAGAAGGAAGGACTTGTGTCACATGTCAGAGACAAAGCTAAGAGAACAAACCAAGCAGACAGACTTGAAAAAGCAATCTCATGTTAATGGTACTGATGCATTAGCATTTCCTTTACCTGCCAACCTTTTACATCTTTTACCCCATGTTCAGATTTTCCACACATTACATTACACATTTGTATCCACACTCTTCTAAACCCATAACAGAATTTAATGATACTTTCCCAGAATCTTCAACATGTTATGCCATTGGTCATTTCCTAATTTTTTTCCAATTTGATTTTGGAGTTTCCCTTTAAGTAAATACTTGACTTTGCAAGGGGCAGGGTATCATTTTATGACCTTTGCTCCTAGTTCCTTTGGTTTTTTTTTTTTTAAGTATGCCTGTCATTTAAGCTGGAGTAGGGATTCTCCTTTGACTGTTTACAGTTTCAAATATTGTTATTTCATAATTAAATGTGGGACTATTTTTGGTGAAAATGTTACAAATGTAAATCCTTATCATGTTGCTGTAGAATATTACTAGCAAAGTTGAAAAGCCAATTTTATTTTTTGCAATATTAGTCCAGTTGCATTTTTCGCACAAATAAAAACATTGCAGAAATATGAAATTTTGCAATTACAAAATGAAAATGTATTTGAAGACACTTAGATTTTATTATAATCAATAAACTACTTAATAATTGAATGATGTCCTGAAGAATTTTGAAAGTTTATGCTGTTAAAAATGGTATTTGTTATTTTCATATACCATATTAAAAAGGATATATATTGAGTGCAACAGTTTTTTAGTGAAATAATATAAGAAAGAGAACAAGAATTACAGCAACTTATATTACTAGCAACCAACTCATCCAAGAATGAAAAGACATGTAAATAAGAAAGCCTCAATGGTTATAAGCACACGATTGGGTTAGTTTAAACTATTTTTTTTCAGAGTACCAAACCATCACCTATCCTTTTTAGACCAATATTTGTCAATGAAATATCAACAAAAAGGCTGCACATTCGATTACCATTAAAAATTACCACAAACTTTTTAAAGTATAAATATTAAAATGATGACAGTGTTTTATAGTAACAATAAAACTTAGTGATCTTCTTAGGTCAAAACATGCAAAAATATTTTTAAATTTTGAAAAGAATTCCATGTTATTGTCAGAAGGTTGGCAGGTATGATTCAGTGATTTTAAATATGCCAAATCAATATTGTAACATTGTATAATTAAGTTTATTATTGTTTGATATTAGAAAGCCATATTTATTGTGTGTATGACTTGTTATTTATTTGATATGTATTGTTTTTTTTTTCATTTATTTGATATGTATTGTTTTGTTTTTTTATTAATATCTTTAGTCTTCAGTTTATCTGAAGGAAAAGACTGTCTGATTATAGGGCTTTACTGTAAATATACCGAAACAGACTTTTTACATGCTTTTAAAATTGAATTTTGGGAAACATAAATGGAAATGTATTGTTCTACAAAAATAAGTTTGATATGTAAAATGATAAATAACAAATAAATAGAATATTGAAAACGTTAATATTCACACTTTTTATTTTTTCACTTTTTTCTTTGTGAAATATTTTGTCTGTTAAAATAGTAAGTATTTATTATAGGGCTTTATGTAATATATCTATGTCACAGATTTTTTTAGGGTATGTACAGTGATATTTAATGCTTATGAATTATAAGGAATAACTATTGTATCTTGATACTTGCCAACATCAATCTTTGAATTTTACTGTCTCTATTAAGTTTCCAAATGAAATGAAATTTGCACCTGTTTTATGCCAAGACAAAAATTTAAATCATAGTAAATATATATAAAAAATAGTTCAAAGCAAGGCTTCCAAAACGGTCATATATGCCGGACATTTGTATAATGTCCGGTAAAAGTCCGGCTGGGCAAAGCATGAAACGGTCAACTACTTTTTAGTTTTCAAGGCTTTAAGAGACGGTCATTTAACATAATTCGCGATCTTTTTGACCCAACGTTTTGCCTTGAACAGCCACACATTTCCGGTCATGAAAGTGACATGATCATTAAGTACTATCAAAACAACCCCTACTTTAATACCTTCTCATTTTAATCAAGGCTAATTAGTTGTCAAACAGCTGAAATTTACCTGTTCAGGTGACAGGTAAACTATTTTGAACCGGACATTGATCGGTCTATTCAAAGGTATTTTCTTACATTTCAGCGGTTTGCATCTAATTAATATAGTCAAAAAGATTTAAATTATCAGAAATACGTTTACAAATATGATTTGATGAAAAAATTAAAAAGGTGAAAATGAAAAATCGTCATAACCACGTTGTTTGAACCTAGAGACATGTCTCTGTTTGAACTAGTACACGTGTGCGCATGTGCGCAGGTGTGAAATTTAATTATGCATCCTAATTTCTTCAAAAAATGCTTAAATTGTCATCGATACCTTTATCTCGCGTTTATTTCAAATAGTTTCTAGAAGAAATAACGTAGAAAGAGCTACTTCCACTCATTCACGCTTTGCAAACGTAGACGGAATTTACGTATCCGTCTCTGGTCCATGTTTTACCATTGTCAAGATAACATCCGGTATAAAAACGAAAGTAAAGTTTTTACAACGTTATTTTGCACAAATAAAGAGTCTTGGGCAGATATACGTGCGCTGATGTTGCACACTTCGAATGATGCACTGCCAATTTAACAGTTTACGTCAGAACTTCGAATTTGAATCAAAGAAAATTTAATATCGTTTTTTTTAATGTCAATCATTGGGATGGCCAACTCAGCAACTGATTACCATAATTGCCTTTTGTTTATTTAGTCTTAAGGGATTAAAATCGGGATTATAAATAAAATGTCGGGCTGGCTAAAAATAATTTTGGATGCCCTGGTTCAAAGACACCTGTGTGTACACAAAGTTCAGTATTTTTGTAGCATGTTATGTCAATTATTTACATTGAAATTTTTTTTTTTTAAGTTTTTATAATAATAGTGAAAGTTAGCATTTCAAAGGGACAATTCACAGGTCACATTTTATTGATTTTAAATTCATATTACATGTACCATATATGTGTTCATAGCCATTTTGTAGTATTTATTTCATAGTTCAGAATTTTTTTCCATTTAGTTATATATTTTTTGCTTATTTCATAATAAAAAGGTTCTCATTAGAATTCACAAGCAGTGGAAATGTTCATTTTCAAATTCCAAAATGATCCTTGCGAATCCATTTCAATAAAAAAAGTTGAAAGAATCTAGGAAACTTTTTATGATATCATTGAAAATATGTCTCCAAATTCTCAGTACCATTCACAAACAGTGGAGATGTTCATTATACCCCTGCTTTAAAAAAGTGAGGGTATACTGTTTAACCTCTGTCTGTCCGTCCGTCCGTCCCATGAATATTTTTTGTCGTATCTTTCTCAGGAACTACATCATAAGGATTTCTGAAATTTGGTTTCAGGGTTTATATAAGTCAGCTTTACAGTGTGATGCGTTTTCAGATTCATCACTCAACAACTTCCTGTTTACCGAACACTAACATTTTTTTTACACTATTAAAATTATCCAGTTGCGGCAGGGGTATCATCAGTGAGCAGTAGCTCGCAGTTTCACTTGTTTTCAATTTCCAAAATGATCCTTGCGAATCCATTTCAGTTTTAAAAAGTTGAAAGTGAATTTAGGAAACTTTTTATGTTAGCATAATAAAAATGTCTCCAGATTCTCAGTAGCATTCACAAACAGAGGTGATTTTCATTTTCAATTTCCAAAATGATCCTTGCAAATCCATTTCAGTTGAAAGAGAATCTAGGATTCTTTTATGTTAGCATTACATGCATATGAAAATCATAAGAAGGTTATACTAACCTTTAAACTGAATAGTTAATTACTTGTTCGATAAAACATGTTTTATATAAGTATAAATTTGTAAAATGTTTTGATTGTGACATAGAATTTAGAACTGTTATATTTTTTTTTTTTTTAAATTGTTTGTAATTGAGGAAAACTTTATTAGACTCTGATGAAAGAGCATATTTTAGCTTTTCTATTTAATTAGATATTTCTTGATCTTTGATGGACGGCGATCAATGCTCTCACAATAGATAAATGAAATTTTGGTCATATTTTCAAGAAGCTAGATTTTTTTTAAAATTATATATATATTTGTATTTATAAAATGTCTGAATAATAGCCAACGATAAATCTTATGGGGTGATGGATCATATAATTATGATACAGTACACTACAAAATATAATATATAATAAGCAAGTCTAAAAGGGTACAACATCACAAAAAAAAACTAAAATTATGAACAAATGTTAAATATTTCGGATAACTAATATCCTTCATCAGTAAAATGTCAAATGATTCTTATCTTGACATGTGGTAGTCGAACTGAAATAATAATCTTGATCGTTATACAATATATCATGAATCAATACACTGGTAAATTTTTTCAATATTGATGTTTGGGAGGAGGAATAAATTCCTTAAAACTGTAAGAGTCCTGTACTGAAGCCTGGGTTACAGGAAACAAGTGACGGTAGGGACTCATTCTATGTTTTTTCATTAATGCCCTCTGGGGAAACTGTCCTTAACTTTCTTATCAAAAAACTTTCCAGAGCAAGTCTGTCAGCCCTTGACCAACCCTTGTTGTGGTCTATGATAGTGATGGTAAGGTTTTTGAGATCAGCTTGGGCATGCCCAGGTGATCTCAAATGAGGACTTACAGGGAGGTCGGGCTTGCCAGTGTAGTAACTTCGATGACCATTCATGTGTTTGTTGAATGGCTGTTCTGTCTCACCAACATACTGCATGCCATATCGACACTGAAGAAGGTTTACAACATTCTGGGTTACATTGCAATATATAGTGTATACGGACCCAGTGGAGTGGCAAGTAAATATTTGTATTTATATATACTATAAATGGTATACAGAAAGAGATGTCTGCTCCTTAACTAAATATCAAGTAATTATACATATGTAATTAACTTTGTGTAACATGTATATTTGCAGTTCATTTTGTTATTCATGATAGCATCGAAAATAGAATTCCATATCAGCTCTGTAAACAAATATATATTCAATGTAAACAGGATTTTTTGGGCATTGACAATTTATTTTTTTTGTACTCTTGTTGTTGGATCTTTCTATTCCTCACTTTTCTGAATTTATTTATTTACCGGTATACATTACTTTGGTCTTGAATGTAATCATATATAAATCATTAAATCTTTACTTATATAGTCTGATTGCAATTTATTGCAGAATAGCTTTGCATATATTATATAAAGTATTTTGCTTTTGATAGCCACAGCTGTTTAACTTGTCTGTCTCAAATACTAACAAATTTATTAGAGAATATCTGTTATTTATTAAATGTTATTAATGTTATAGAATTGTTTTTGTATAGCATTTGTGACTGACCATGGCCCCAATCATAAGATTGGTTATGCTGAGAGGAAAAACTATGTCTCAATATTAAAGAAACAGTAACGGAAATAAAAATTACTCTTGGGGACCAAAAAAATGATATTATACTTATTTAGGATTGCATTTTGTATATTGATAGTTAAGTATCAATTCTGTTTAGGCCCTGCCTTTGAAAGTAGGGGACATTGTATTTTCCTGTTGGTCCCTTTGTCAGTACTGTCTTTGTATTTCACTTATGCATCAACATCTATAACATTTACAGATTTTAATTTTCATATGATAACATCTTCAATTAAGGATGTACTTAGGTCAGGTTTAGGAATTTTTGCCAAATGTTCGTACTCCTTGGTTTTTTTCCTACGATACAGGGTAAAATATTTTGCCCCATAACAACCATCTTTCTTTTCATATAAGACTTCAATAGCTCATAAAAGATCATTTACCAAAATTTAAGCAGATTGTAGATTTCTTTTCTTTCGATTTGAGACCCAGATAATACCAATGCAAATATAAGGTAAAAGTCCGAGTCAGCCTTTTCCCACCATTTTTTTTAAATTAAATATCTCAAAAAGGAGCTCCATGACCTATCAATATTTTAAGCTTATTTTGTTCCTTAACTGACTTATAGTATCAATTTTAAATACTAGATTTTTTTAATTTCACCTAAGTACATTCTTAAATTCATGTCCAATCAAAGAAAGCTTGTCTATTACAACTACCGGTATTCAAATGGTGCTACCCATAAAAACATCAGATCTTTCACAAAATGAACAATTTTTTTTAAATGGAAAAAGCATCATTTCTAGTATTAAAGTTTCAGATTTTTGGTCAATTTAACAAATATTAGATTGCTTAATTTTCAATCAAGCTCTTGACTCATCATGAATCAAGGATTTTTATTGAGCCAGGCCATGGTCAGCCATATTTTGCAGATACATCGTATTTTAGGGTTATAATGTGATACATAAAATCTTAGGGTATATTTTTGTGGTAATTATTTATACAAAATAAGGGGAAGAGAAACTATTGGCAACAAATTTGTACACTACACACTAACTTTTTTTGTATATCAATTTTACGAAACTTGTGAGGATTTTTTCAATTGCAGTTATACCAAGGGGACTTTTTTTCTTTGGGAGACAAAATAACTTGTAATTAATTGATGTAGTTACATTTTCAGGAAATTTTGGGAAACACCTTTCTAAGATACAAGTAGTCTTGTGTTTAAATTGATAAGAATAACCAATTGAATTGAAGGGAATACTTAGGTATATCCGCAGTGGATAGTGAAATCTTGTCTGTGCTCACAAACTTTGCTGTTGTTTTACTTCTTATAATAGTGTCCCATTTTATCACTTTTGCTCTCTCAAATTTCATTAATGATATAATAGAACAATTTGGGATTGTTTCTAGGATAGTCAATTGCCTAACAATTAACCTGTTCAGGAGACGGGTACAAGTGGCAGATGTACATTTTATTATATTTTAGTGGAATATTTTTTTGTATCCTCTAGTTGATATTAAAGCATTTTTGATTAGAAATGTATTGTTATTGATATTTTGTTTTGAAATAAAGTGCTAAATAGCTTGGAAAATTTGTTTCTCCTGTGTTTGAATAAATGAGATGTAAGGTGTATGGTTATGAGACAGCAACGCAGTGACACAAATAAACTTAAAAACTAGAAGGCAACATACAGTCTTCAAGACCGGTGTCTATGCAATATTTCAAGCTCTATGAAGTCTTAGAGTCAACAAAGGTTGTGAATAAATTAAATAGAAACCTAACTAAGATCAGCCCATAAAATCTGAATTCTCCAAATAACAACAAAACATTCAGATAATATAACACAGCCACGGAGTAGATTCACTTTGAACAGGCAAATGAATACATGTATATGGCAGTGGGATAATGGTTTTTCAAGATCTTAGCACCCCCCTTTTCATCTCTCTCAGGGCCTTTATACAAAAAATATTTTTTTCACCTTTCCATGGACCATGGAAAGACCTTTTGAAATTATCATAACAATATATTGTTTCTTCTTCCAGATAGTTTTACTTAAGCGATCTATTGACTTCTTACTGGAGTTATTTCCCTTTCTATTTGTCAGTGTAACTGATGCTGTATGGTATACAGACCTAGGATACTTTGATTGGTGGTCATTGGTCGATTAGGATTAGGATTAAAGGTCAAAGTCATATTTTGAACCTGTGCTTGTTATAGCTACTGCTCCAAGTCATAATTGAAATTGGAGGTTGCTTCATAGTTTAATTGAAAGTTGTCCAATGATTTTATTTACTCCATCCTTAAGTATCAGAGATAAAATAATTTTGATAAATCTGTACCTATATTAGTCAAGCTTGGTTTCTGTATCAAAACATACTTTCAATTGCATCAAACTTTGATGTAGAGTTGGTTTTCACTTTGAATTGTTTCTCATGTTGTCATGGCAGGGCATTTTATAGTACATATACTGTATATGCTCATTGCTGAATGCTGTATGGCGACCTATAATTATTAACATTTTCATCTTATCCTTTGGTTTCTGGTGGATTTGTTTCAATCATGCCACATCTCCTTATACATTGTACAATGTTGATTTTGAAGGTAAACTTCTTGCAAGTCACAAATACTTTAAAAAAAGACCCAAATCAGTGCAAAAATAGGGCTTCCAGAGAACCATTGTTGGATTTGGTTTTGCAATAGCTAATTTGGGTATAAACATTATATAAACAAGAACTAGTCTCTTCCTTGGTACTTCATTTAAAAGTTTCAAATTCTTCAAGTCTAATACATTGAAATCTAAATGATTTTTTTTTCTGTGGTTTTCATTTGAATATGCAGGGATGGATATATACTGTTAGTTCAGAAATTTCTGTGTGCAGCTATATTTTGAGATTTTTTGTCCAAAATTGAAGATTACATATGACAATTTCAGACAAATAATGCAAAAAATTATGCAATCAAAATATTTTATTTTTATTTTGGAGAAACCTCTCTCCTTTTGCAATTTTTGCAATATTTAAGCATCACAAAAATTTCATCTGAATTTACAGTTATATAGGAAGAATTTCAACTGGCAGTAAAAATATTTCACACTAGTAAAAGATCCCATCTGTCATTCATTGCAGGAAATAATAATCTTTTAAAAGAACAAAAGTATCTATTGATGTATGTTCTAAACTTGCATTGAACTGTGAGCTTCTGATCCATGTTGAATGCCTCTTGAACTGTGAATTTCAAACGGAGTACAGCAATATTATAAAAGTGCTGTTTATTTGCTTCTGTATTGTCAAAGATATTATGTGCATAATTATACACCATACCTGTTCATTTTTTTTTTAAAGATTAAAAAAAAGAAACTGCTAATGACATAATTGCCACTGGATTTTAAGCAACCAACAATTAATCTAATGGCATTATTAGATCAATCTGTGAAAAAAATTAGAGGTTAAATAGGGTTCTATCATTGGAATTTTTTTAATCTCGAAAGGGACTGTGATTACAGTAAATAATAACACATTTAATTTCAAAATCTAATAATATAAATATCACAACATATACAATAACAAATGGACTATTTCTGCAATAAAAATTGTTCAATGAATTCTTTCTGATCATCTTCAGTCTTTTTTAAGGCATCATGCTGTATTCGTAATCTACAATTAAATTAAACAAATCAAATTAATATGTGTCAAGGGGAGATAATAAATTATTAAAATCGGATACAAATTTTAATAAAAAATTGTATAAATTTTTCATAAGGTTAATATTTTTTTAGATAGAATAAGCCTATTGAAAGGTATGCAACTGTCATGGTTTTATGTGTACAGAGACATAGACAATGATTTTTTTTTTTACTAGGAGTGATTTATAGTTTGAAATATTGTATAGACACCTTTCTTTAGTTGAACATGTTGAACAGTTTCCACTCTCAATTTTATGTTGATGGATGTTTTTGAATATTTTTATCTTTAAGGTGCCTTCTCACTTTTTATTTATCTACAAGCACTAAATTAATGAACAGATAATATATACACAGATTCAAATTATGCTGGTAGACAATGTACTGTAGGATATCCTTAATAAACTGTTAACACTTAGATATGTCTCACCATTTTGTTATTTTGATAGTAAAATGCAAATGTTGAAATTAAAATATCAATATTTTAACATGTAAGTTATGCAAAATCAGGGGTTCAAATTAGCGGTGGTCCGAGGTCCTTGACCTTCCATTTACGGGTTCAGACCTTCCCACCGGTAGTTAGTTTTACCCGACGGACTTTCATATTTTTGCAGTTTAAAAAAATTACAAAAGCATTTTGAACAAAACATATAATAAAATGCTTCGCTGGGGCGCAGCTTGATACGACCTCAGAGGTCGAACCCTGAACAGTTGGGGCAAGTATGGACACAACATTCAAGCTTGATACAGCTCTGAATTTGGATTGTTATTAAATATTTGACACAGCATAGGTTTCTGACACAGAAAGAATGTGGTCTAAGAACTTGAATTTTTTTAATTTACCTATTATGGTCCAATGTCCAAAATCAAAATACATGGTTAGATTCAGCATATCAAAGAACCCCATATATTCAATTTTTGTTAAAATCAAACAAAGTTTAATTTTGGACCCCAACTTGGACAAACTTGAAAACTGGGCCCATAATCAAAAATCTAAACACATGTTTAGATTTAGCATATCAAAGAACCCCAAGAATTCAATCTTTGCTAAAATCAAACTAAGTTTAATTTTGGACCCTTTGGACCTTAATGTAGACCAATTTAAAAAACAGGACTTAAAATTAAAAATCTAAATACACGGTTAGATTTGGAATATCAAAGAACCCCAATAATTCAATTTTTGATGAAATCAAACAAAGTTTAATTTTGGACCCTTTTGACCTCAATATGAACCAATTTGATAGCGGGGCCCACAAATAAAAAATCAAAATTCATGGTTAGATTCAGCATATCAAAGAACCCCATATATTCAATTTTTGTTGAAATCAAAAAAAGTTTAATTTTGGACCCCAATTTGGACCAACTTGAAAACTGGGCCAAAAATCAAAAATCTAAATACATGTTTAGATTCAGCATATCAAAGAACCTCATATATTCAATTTTTGCTAAAATCAAACAAAGTTTAATTTTGAACCCTTTGGACCTTAATGTAGACCAATTTGAAAACTGGACCCAAAATTAAAAATCAAAATACACTGTTAGATTCGGCATAACAAATAAATAAATGTGATCAAAGATTTTACAAATCTAATGCACCGTACTGTGGAATTAAAGATTACTTCTTGAAATTTTTCAATATTTGAAATTTGAAAAAAAAATAATATTTGAAGAATAATTCTTTTTAATTTCTGAAATCTGAAATGAGAAAATATTGACCCCCCACAATTTATTTTTATCCCCCCCCCCACCTTTTTTCCCCCAAAAAATTCTTTCCCTCAAGATATGGTCATAATCTCAATTCAAATTTCCAATGGAGTTGGCAACCATAATTACCCATTTAAATTTACCATAGTGCTAACTTAATCCATTTTATAATAGAATTAAAAATATAGTGTCAAATCTTTCATATGGATTTTTTTGTAAAAAAAAAGATGCAACATTTGCAGATATTTTTACTGGTCTTCCTTTATAAATATGCATTTCTTTAAACATAATTTAAAAGCAGTGTAAGGGAAGTAACTAAAACGTTGTATTTGGATTACCTCCCTTACACTGTTTTAAATTATCTTTATTGTTCATTAACCATTACTTTATACATAATTTAAAAGCAGTGTAAGGGAGATAATTTCAATGATGTATTTGATTTATCTCCCTTACACTGCTTTAAATTATGTTTTGTACTAAAGTATTTGTCCATTAACCAGGACAACCTTGTTTTTCCCCCTTTTTTGCCCCTAATTCCTAAACGGTTTGAGCCATAACCCCCCAAAGCAAATCCTTACCATCCCTTTGTGGTATGGAAACTTGTAGTATAATTTCAGAGAGATCCATACACCGTTGCACAGTTATTGTCTGGAAACTAGAAAATGTTTATTTTTGGCCCCTTTTTGGCCCCTAATTCCTTAACTGTTGGTACCATAACCCCCAAAATCAATCCCAACCTTCCTTTTGTGGTATTTAACTTTATGGTCAAATTTCAAAAAGATCCATTCACTTAAACTAAAGTTAGAGTGCGAAAACCAATGTGTATTCGGACGACGACGCCGGACGACGACGATGACGCCGGACGACGACAACGACGACGACGCCAACGTCATACCAATATACGACCACAACATTTTTTGGCGGTCGTATAAAAATCTAGTATAAAAATAATCTTAAAATATGCAACTTTACTGAAAGGAAACTTATGTATTTGCTTAAATTCTTCACAATTGATTTGATGTTTAGTCACTTGACGGGTCGTCATACACGATACCGGGAAACACGAGAATATAATATTAAAACATAACTAGTAAACAGTATAGTCTGTTTGGTTTGTGGGTGACTTCTTCCAAAAGAAAACCTGATGAAACAGGGGATACAACGGGGGTGATTGAAGAAACGGTTTAACACAGCCCGAAAGACAGGATCTGACTCGACCAAAAATATGACAGGGAAAAACCAGAACGTAAATTTTACCCACAACATGCAGTGAAAGGGAAAGTGCCCTGGTTCATTGGACCAAAAAATTTAACACTTTAACCCAATAAAAAAATCATGATGAAAAATTACCACCAAGCATCTATATATCTTGCCAAAAAATAGTTAAAAGAAACTGACCCCAAGTTTGAAAACGAAGTTGAGCTGTTATCTGACACAAAGTTAGACCAGAGTTCTTAAGCAGCAATTGAAACCAAAACAACTAAAAAGGTACAAATTGTTATTTAACACAGTGTATAGTGTTGGGGAAAAGGAGAAGCCTTTTCTGATTGAATTTATTTGAGAAATTCAGAAAAAAATGCGGTTAATGTTATAAGATATGATGAGTGCTTCGGAATGGTAAGCATTTTCTGTTTTTATAATAGAATTTTTAATGAAATTGGACCTTCTAAGAATAAAGGAGGACCTTTAAGTATTTTTGGTCAAAGGTCCTGGACCTTCCATTGCTTAAAGTAAATTTGAACCCCTGAAAATATTCAAAGTAAATGAACCATGACTGAAGGTACAGGGCCAAACAATCTCCATGGAATTTTTTATCAAAACAAGAGAGATATTTTTATAAGCAATAAATGTACTGAATAAATGTAGATATTGCAATTCCCAAACCCCGGTGAAATATTTCCACTTTATAAATATACTCAACTCCTTGGTTGAACAAACAAAACAAAACCAGGAAATTGTCAGAGAGCCTCAGAGTACGAAAGTGTTTTTTAGAGATCTTTGCCTGTTAAAGTCTGTATTTGTTGACATTAACTCCAAATGTAGCAGTATTACCATTTAGCAAAGTATTCCAGTAAAACCGATGCTAGATCCTTTCTCAAGTATAGTGAGGTGCAAGCAAAAGACCAGGCTTCCTTGTAACTTGAGATAAATAACAACAGTTCCTTTGCTTTTGTTATTTGTCAAGTGAGTGTAAGATTTTCGTGTCATGAACTAACACACATTATGCCATTGAAAGCTTTATTCATCAAAATGGAAAGCAAAACATCCTTCATTTATTTTTTTGTTTGATTGAGATCAAATAAAAACAACAAAAGAACAATTTTTGTCTGTTCGATTTGCAAATAATTACCTCTCTAATTGCATTTTCTTTTCTGTAATTAAAGCTTGCAACTGTTGTTGTTGTGCTTCTCTTTGTTTTGCTATAGACTTTAATAAATTTCTAGATCCTATTGCCTGAAATGTAAAAATAATAAAATAGATAATTATAGAATGAAAGAACCTTAGTGAGCGTCCTCACATACCCCACGTCCCCACATTGTCATTGGAGAAATAAAATAAGTGTAAGAAAAAAAAAATTGTATCAGAAAAAAACATTGAATCATAATTTCCTGTCAATATGCACATCTACATAGTATGTCCTTATTATCTACACAGTTTCATGAAATTCTGTTGTGTGGTTTGAGAGGAGTTGCGATGACAAAAGGTTGCAGTAGTATTTTGGGCAAATAAGTTCAAAGTAGCGTAACTCCTGGAAAAAAAATTGAATCGTAATTTCCTGTCGATATGCACATCTACATAGTATGTCCTTATTATCTGAAAAGGTTTCATGAAATTCTGTTGTGTGGTTTGAGAGGAGTTGCGATGACAAAAGGTTGCAGTAGTATATTGGGCAAATAAGTTCAAAGGGGCGTAACTCCTGAGAAAAAAAATTGAATCGTAATTTCCTGTCGATATGCACAACTACATAGTATGTCCTTATTATCTGAAAAGGTTTCATGAAATTCTGTTGTGTGGTTTGAGAGGAGTTGCGATGACAAAATGTTGCAGGAGAATATTGGGCAAATAAGTTCAAAGGGGCGTAACTCCTGGAAAAAAAATTGAATCATAATTTCCTGTCGATATGCACATCTCCATAGTATGTCCTTATTATCTGAAAAGGTTTCATGAAATTCTGTTGTGTGGTTTGAGAGGAGTTGCCATGACAAACTGTTGCAGTAGTACATTAAAGTAAATAAGTTCAAAGGGGCGTAACTCCTAGAAAAAGAATTGAATCGTAATTTCTTGTCGATATGCACAACTACATAGTATGTCCTTATTATCTAAAAAGGTTTCGTGAAATTCTGTTGTGTGGTTTGAGAGGAGTTGCGATGACAAGAAACAGGACTGACAGACGGACGGATGGACGGGTCCAAAACATTATACCCTCCGCAACTCGTTGCGTGGGGTATAAATATACATAGTGCCCACAAAATTTGGTGGGATAGAATATTTAAAATATTGGATAAATATAGAAAAATACTCTGTATGTTTCTTAACCCCTGCACAAAAAGTAATAAAATGCTCCGCTGGGCGCAGCTTGATATGACTGCAGAGGTCGAACCCTGAACAGTTGGGGCAAGTATGGACACAACATTCAAGCTTGATACAGCTCTGAATTTGGATTGTGAATAAATATTTGACACAGCATAGGTTTCTGACACAGAATGAATGTGATCTAAGAACTTAAAAAATTTTAATTCACCTATTCAAACCATATCATTATTATTTGCTTTTATATATATATAAATCAGAAATAACCAATTTAAAATGGAAAATTTTAAAGAAAAAAAAAAGGAAAAAAAAATCCCCCCCAAATTTTTTGAACCCCCTTATGATTCATCACCCCCAAACTCAATCCCAGCCTTCCCTTTGTGGTATGGTACCTTGCAGTACAATCTCAGAGTGATCCATACACTTGAACACAAGTTATTGTCTGGAAACTAGAAAAATGCTTATTTTTGGCCCCTTTTTGTCCCCTTTTTCCTAAACGTTTAGGGCAATTACCACCAAACTCAAACCCAGCTTTCCCTTTGTGATATGGAACCTTGTAGTTAAATTTCATAAAGATCCATACACTTACACACAAGTAATTGTCCTGAAACTAGAAAAATGCTTGTTTTTTGCCCCTTTTTGGCCCCTAAATCCTAAAATTTTGAGGCAAATACCCCCAAAATCAATCCAATAAAATTGAGAATGGAAATGGGGAATGTGTCAAAGAGACAACAACCCGACCACAGAACAGACAACAGCAGAAGGCCACCAACAGGTCTTCAATGCAGCGAGAAATACCCGCACCCGGAGGCGTCCTTCAGCTGGCCCCTAAACAAATATATATACTAGTTCAGTGATAATGAACGCCATACTAAACTCCAAATTGTACACAAGAAACTAAAATTAAAAATAATACAAGACTAACAAAGGCTAGAGGCTCCTGACTTGGGACAGGCGCAAAAATGCGGCGGGGTTAAACATGTTTATGAGATCTCAACCCTCCCCCTATACCTCTAGCCAATGTAGAAAAGTAAACGCATAACAATACGCACATTAAAATTCAGTTCAAGAGAAGCCTTCCCTTTGTGGTATGGTACCTTGCAGTACAATTTCAGAGAGATCCATACACTTGAACACAAGTTATTGTCTGGAAACTAGAAAAATGCTTATTTTTGGCCCCTTTTTGTCCCCTTATTCCTAAACATTTTGGGGAATTACCCCCAAACTCAATTCCAGCTTTCCCTTTGTGATATGGAACCTTGCAGTACAATTTCAGAAAGATCCATACACTAACACACAAGTTATTGTCATGAAACTAGAAAAATGCATGTTTTTTTGCCCCTTTTTTGGCCCCTAATTCCTAAAATTTTGAGACAATTACCCCCAAAATCAGTCCCAGCATTCCCTTTGTGATATGGAACCTTGTGGTACAATGTCAGAGAGATCCATACACTAACACACAAGTTATGTCTGGAAGTTACAAAAATGCTCATTTTGGCCCCTAATTCCTTAACTGTTGGTTCCATAACCCCCAAAATCAATCCCAACCTTCCTTTTGTGGTATTGAACCTTATGGTAAAATTTCATAGAGATCCATTCACTTAAACTAAAGTTAGAGTGCGAAAACAAATGTGTCTTCGGACGACGACGTCGACGACAACGAAGACGACGCCAACGTCATACCAATATACGACCTCGGACGTATAAAAATGAATCAGAAGTGGCAATTGTTAGAAGCAGTTTTTAATTAAAAAAATCAATTGTAATTTTATATTTTATTATATCATTATGAATTGATCGATCTTACAAGTGTTAATTTTTTGAATTTGTGTCTAATACTGTAGTATGGAATTTCACATGTTTCATCATGAAAAAAAAGAAAAGAAAAAAGAATTATAGAAACTGGTATAAGTTAACGTTGATTGCTGTTCCTTGGCACAACTTCAGGGCAAAGTGTCATACAAGTGAGAGGTTTAGCTAGCTTTAAAACCAGGTTCAATCCACCATTTTCTACATAAGAAAATGCCTGTACCAAGCCAGGAATATGACAGTTGTTATCCATTCGTTTGATGTGTTTGAACTTTTGATTTTGCCATTTGATTTTTGAATTTTCCTCGGATTTCAGTATTTTTGTGATTCTACTTTTTAATAAGTCTACATGTATGTACTGTATGTTGACATCCTTGATTCAACAGTTTATGCATTATTCTAAGTCTTTTTTTTATGAATTTATTTTTAACCTATTTATAAGCCTAAAAATCTGTCCCCAGTGAATTCATTTATTTTCATGGGTACCAATTTTCGTGTATTTTCTTGATGATTAACACTACGTTGAACATTTGAATTTGTGGTTTGCCTCTACCCATGAAATCTACAAAAGTTGGCACCCAACGAAAAATAATTCAGTATCATAAAATTTCTTAAAATTCAAATGGCCATTCGTCATTTTTACTGGACTTGGCCTCGGCCCTTTTGGTTAACGGAGAAGACAGCAACCTAGGAGTCTGATTTTATTCTTTTCCCATGACACAACTAGTACTTGCTGATATCATATTACTCTGTAAACAATTTTAAAAAATTGAACCTGATCTACACATTACAAATATGACTAAGAGCTAGAAAATCCCACACTGAATTTTTTGTTTGAAATATTATTAAACTGAAAATCAATTCAATGTATTTTTTTTCAACACATTTTAACAGTTCGTCTTTGTTGCTATCATTTATCATGTTTATATACATGTTCTGTCCAAAATGCTTAACCCTGCTACATTCTCATTGGCAATCATATTATCACATCTCCTTATTTTATATCAAATATGATAAAATGTTTTTTTTTAAATGAAAAGTAAAATATAACAAATCAGTTTAGGAAATCCACCATCTTCTTTAATCATGTTAATGCTTACAAAAAATTAAGTTATAATCATTCCAAGTTGTGTTTATAACCTACCTTCATTTTTTCTTTTTCTACTTCTTTTGAAACATTATCAACAACTTCTATAAAAGTTCCTACAATCTTCTGAAAATCTCCAATTTCTGCAAAGAAAAATAAAAGAAAATTAATTTTTGAAAAATGTAATACTAGTATATAGATGAAGACAGATTTAAAATGTAATTACTTAGTAAATTGAAATTCATATATGGTGTTGTTCATATAGACAAACACTGATAAATTCTTAGTTGGCTCTATTTGTGAGGACAAAATACACAGATATACAGAAATAATTAAATTTTGGTAACTTATGCAGTTCATTTTAATTTCATTGTACCGCATAAAGTCCAAAATAACTGCTAGCCTAGGAATTTTTGACAATTTATTGGGTAACATAATGTCTATCAAAATTCTTCCCTTAACAGTTAACACTGAAGGCTTCAATGCTTCGCTGGCATTTCAGGTGCACTTGTCTCATATTATGAATGGAAGCAAGACAACTTGCCCCACTGTTGAAAAAGGGTTAATTCCCGCTGAATTTAGGCCTGCCAACTAGCCCCACTAACTAAAAAAGTCTTTTCCAGCCAAATTTAGGCTTGCAAACTCACCCGCTTATGAAAAAGAGTGGAATATGAGGCCTTTATTAGTCCCCTACCGACGAAGTCGAAGGGGACTTTAGATTTGCACTCTGTCCGTCTGTTAATCCGTCAGTCCGGCAACTCAGTTTTCCACACTTTTTTTCTTCATTCTTGGAGACATTGATTTGATATTTGGTATATAGTTTTATCATGACAAGTTATAAATCAAGTTTGAATTTTGTTCCGGTCTGATGATTTAGTCCAGAGTTATGGTCCATTAAAAACTCCATAACTAATGTTAGAGTACTATGTTAAACCATATATCTGAACAAAGGGAGATAACTCATTTTTTAAAAGACATTCTTTGGTAAATTGATTGAGGAATTTTGTGGCAGGTTTATATGTTATTTCATATTAACTTATTTTCTGAATGCTACATGTAAATAAATATATTTTTTTTTATTAAGTGAAATCCTTTAATTAGATAATAATCTATTTTTATTAAGGTATATATTTCATTACATTACATTGTGAAGATAAAAGTTGTTGACATTTTATAGATAAGTTACAATTAACAAATCTATATTAGCTAGTTTGTGACAAATAAAGAAAAAATATTTGGAACTATTAATTGTATTTGATTGTAATTTGAAAATAGATATACATTGTATTACATCATATCTAATTTTAGAGAGCTATTAATCATATCTAATGTTAGAGGTTTTCCACACTTTTTTTCATCATGCTTGAAGATATTGATTGACAATTGGTATATAGTTTTATCATGACAAGTTACAGATCAAGTTCAAATTTTTGTTTCCGTCTGATAATTTTGTGCAGAGTTATGGTCCTTGGACTTGAAAAATTCACTCATATATTCAGTTTTCCACACTGTTTTTAGTCATGCTTGAAGATATTGACTTAATATTTTCTTTTTGTTTACACCATGACAAGTTATAGAACAAGTTAGCATTTAGTTCCAGTATAATGAATTTTTACCCGGTAGGGGACTATGTATTGCCATGCAATATACTCTCAGAATGCTTGTTTATATGGGGACGAAGTCCCCAATTACAGTAGAAAAAAATCCAAAAAAAATAAATTCAATCTTCTACATAGATATAGGAAGATGTGGTATGAGTGCCAATGAGACAACTCTCCATCCAAGTCAAAATTTATAAAAGTAAACCATTATAGTTCAAGGTACGGCCTTCAACACCAAGCATTGGCTCACACCGAACAGCAAGCTATAAAGGGCCCCAAAAAATTACTAGTGTAAAACCATTCAAACGGGAAAACCAACGGTCTAATCTATATAAAAACTAAAAACACGTATGAACTACATAAACAGACGATAACTACTGTACATCAGATTCCTGACTTAGGGCAGGTGCAAACATTTGCAGTGGGATTAATGGTTTTAATGGTACCAAACCTTCTCCCTTTTCCGAAACAATAGTATAACATCACAACATAGAGAGCACTATAAAATATCAATTGGAAGGCTTAACTCAATCAAAAAATGCAAATTAACACACAATGAACGAATAAATTTGATCTGTGATACCTGAATGCAAATACTTAGTTAATAAAAATTATAAGGGATAAATAATTAAGGTCAAAAGTAAATAAACAGGTTTAAAAAAAGTTAAAGTATGATACCACTGTGAAATGTTAAACAATATTTAGAAAATCATCACTTTTGAAAAAACCTGCTTCATATTATACACAGGCAAATGACAGGTAAATGAAAATAATTTTGTTGTTAAGTATACTTCTTCTTCTACTAATGAACTCAAAATCATCAACTTTTTTTACTTTCCCGCATCTGCACAGAAATCTTTTCCGGTATTGTTTCTCTTGGGATGTGAATAAAATATTATGGGGACATGCCTTATAACATTAAGCAAATCAATAAAACTAAAATTCAATATAAAAATCAACATACTAATGAAATCATAGCGTTTCTTTGTTTACATTGAAAATGACATCACAACTAAAATCCCTAACAACAGAACCAACATCTGAAACGTTTCCGTATTTCCATTTCTTTTTTAACAGATTCTGAGGTTAAAATATGCTTGAACTAAAAAATAATATATACAGACTTCGTCCCCTTTTACAGGTAACGCCTGCCTCATATTACTGATTAAACTACTTTTCATACTAGGAGTGAGTTGGTAGTCTTGCAGTAAATATTCTATATTTAGAAAATTGGGCTGGGGCGATTTGGCAATGGGGTGAGTTGTCATGCATTCTTATGAATTTAAATGATACAAAAAAAATTAACTGGTTACATCAGCACTGATAAATTATTTCTCAATTAGTATCTGTTCATCATACTTTCAACAAATTCTCGACATTCTTCTTTTAGTTCTTGTGTTTGCTGTGCTACTTCAGGTTCAAGGACTCTAATTTTGTTAATTTCATCAAAATGTAAACCAGCTCTAGAAAGAGCTTCGTCTGCCATCTTCAAACAGAATGGAATGTCAAGGAAGTTGTCCAATCAATAATGTTCTTGAAAGGAAGTCAGTATTTATTCATAAACAAAGCGCAAATAAAACCAAGATTTAAAAACCAGCAGTTACTTGTTTACATTTACTGTTTCGTATAATACAAATTTTTTTTTAAAAGTAACACTAATTCTAAATTTTAATAAAAATAATAAAAGATTTTTTTTCAAATTCAAAACTATAAATGATAACGCATACTCGGAATAAGAAGTTTTCACTTGCATACGAAAGCAACATTTATTTAACTTTGCATATCACTCCCAAGACATTACGTCAACTTTGTATTAAATATATTCTATATTTAGAAATTGGTATAAATACACTGTTTAAAATGTCAGTAAGACAAACATGTTCTTTCATTCAAGAAGGAAACATGTGGAATTATCATATTTCATAAGTAGGAAAGAAAATATTGCAACAATCGGACTAAAATTTTCCCACAGAACCAAGTGAAGATTTTATAACAAATTGTATTTAATGTCCCTCACCATGTCTGGAGAGACAAAAACTGTGATAAAAGGAACATCTTCCAAGTATGTAAAGCTGAATGTTGGTGGATCCCTTCACTATACCACCATTGGGACATTAACCAAACAAGACACAATGCTGCGGGCAATGTTTAGTGGCAGAATGGAGGTTCTTACTGATTCTGAAGGTAAAAATCACATCAAATTCACTGGTGCTCACAGACTACTGTACAATGAACTTTAACTACAGCATACAGTGTAATTTCTCCAGATTGGTTAACCGTATATATACATGTTGTGGGCATCTTGCCAAATTGGGAAATGATTCCCCAAATGAGTAACAAGTCTGTTTTGGAAATACATGTAGTACTCGTTTACTTTGAAGTACCACTTCTTCTTTTGGTTACAGAACAGCATTCATTGCAGACAACATTTGTGTGCATCTCACATAAATAGCCCAACAGAATTGTTAAACCTTCTTGCTGACGCTAATTTAATGAGGTTACATTTCGTATTCCAGGGAATGCAGCAGTTGGACGTCTATGACGTCACACGTCCAACTTTGACTTCATATTCTAATGACGTTACTTTGGAGACCCATTGAAGAAAAAGATTACACGATATATATACATGTAATCTTTAGTGTTTTATTTGAAAGAGATGCAGAAATGAACAAGTGCTTGCATAAATCAAATATACAGTGATATATAAATACATGTGTCCAACTGGCAGTAAGAGGTTTGGTTCAAAGTTCTGCTGGGCTACTTATGTCAGGTGCACACAGATGTACATGTAGTCCCCTAGTCTATGTACAATTTTAGTTTACATCTAAAATTCTGTTAAATTAATTGTACAATTAAAATCTATAACCATTGACATTGTACATGTGGTACCTGTAGTAACTGGTTTGCCTAATTCCAAGGTTAGCCCTACACTCCTCTTTGGTGGCTGCAGCAACTGTGCTGGCTGGTAGGAGATTCCAGCCTCGTACTGTCCTTAAGAAGAAGGAGTTTCTGTATGCCTCTGTATTTGATCTTTCTTGGATGAGACAGCATTCAGTGGCCTCTTCTTTGCTGTCATTATCCCTCAGGTATATAGGTTACATGTAGCAGGGGTTCAAATTAGTGGTGGTCCGAGGTCCGTGACCTTCCATTTACGGGTTTGGACCTTCCCACAGGTAGTTAGTTACACCAACAGACTTTCGTATTTTTGCAGGTTAAAAAAGTTACAAAAGCATTTTGAACAAAAAATATAAAAATCTGACTAGGTGCTACTCTTATTTACTGTGCATTTACAATGGTAGAAATTTATTTGCCATCTACTTTCCCATTCCTCAAGCACACTAAGAACTTTATCAGTCAGGGGACTTACTTAAATGAGTGATTTTCTAAATCACTGATTCAAGTAACATTATGTCCATAAAGGTTGGAAGTAAGAGTTGTCTTTCTTTAATAATCACCTATTTAAATCATTTTAAGTAGTACAAATTAATCACTAGACTAAGTGATTTAATTTTATTGTAGCTTTAAACATAGAATACTTATGGTCAAGGGACTAATTATGTTGCTAAAATTATCAGAACCAACATCTGTGTTGATAGGATGACCGGGTCAGGTCAGGTGCTGACCTTGTACTAAATGACATAAAAATCACTTGTTTAAGTATCATACCTCAATTTCCTTCCAAAAAATTTGAAATTCCGCAAAAAGTCCTGAGTCTGAGATTTTTCGGTAATCTCTGGCATATCGTTTATGTAGGCTATGAACAAGAGGGAGCCTAGCACCAATCCCTGAGGTACACTCCTGTCAAGACTTGAGCTGGTGTTGATTTTGCTCCTTCTAACACTACTTGCTGATTTCTGTTGACCAGGAATGATTTTATCCATCTTTCACTCACATGTACAATGATCATGATGACGTAGGGCACACAATTTTATATTTTTTTTTTTTTTGTTACTTCACTCAACCAATTTTGAGGAAATAACTACCCACCAATTGAAATTTTAAATATGCTCCTGGTGATTAAATATATATTTGAAAAACTAATAAACCTTACACATTGTACATGTACATGTAGCCATAGCAGTTTTGATTAGCATTTATATACAGCAAATTTTGTATCTATTTTAAGGATGGATATTAATAGATAGGAGTGGAAGCCACTTTGGAGAAATCCTGAATTTCCTCAGAGATGGCTCTGTACCATTACCAGAAACCAGAAAAGAATTGTTAGAACTTTTACAAGAGGCTAAATACTTCTTAGTTCAAGATTTAGTAAGGATTATTGAAGCAGCTGTAAAACAGATGGAGGCTGCTGTTGATCCTATCTGCAAAGTACCTTTAATCACATCAGGCAGAGAAGAACAACATTTAGTCGCAAACACGCAGAAGGTATACAGTTATACTTTATGAAATCATAGAATAAAATAAAATGAACTATATATCTAAAGTCAACAGAAAATTTCAATGCAGCATATCATATAAAAATAAGAAGAGGTGGTATGATTACCAAGGAGACAACTGTGCAGGATTTTCTCGCTGTGTTGAAGACCCATTGGTGGCCTTCGGCTGTTTTCTGCTCTTTGGTTGGGTTGTTGTCTCTTTGACATATTCCCCATTTCCATTCTCAATTTTAACTCTTCACCAGAGACAAAATGACGTAGACATGGTAGAAGATGCATATAATAATTTGAATACATCAAAATATTCTCATTTTGTATTCTGAGGATGTGATGGCTGTCATTTTTGGACTTTTTGAAGAAAGATTTTAATATACATGTATAAATAAAGAGATGTGGTATGATTGCCAATGAGACAACTATCCACCAGAGTGCAAATGACATGTATGTTAGCAAATATAGTCACTGTATGGCCTTCAAGAATGAGAAAAACCCATACCATATAATTGGATATAAAAGGCCCTGACATGAAAAATTATAAACGATTCAAACGAGAAAACTAACGGTCTAATTTATAAAAATGCAAGTAACAAACAAAATGTTACTGAATTATTTATTTAGAAAATGTATATGGATGGATGTCACACTAGAAAGAGTGTAAGACAAGGAAATCTCCAACACACAGGTACAGCCTGACAGGGGTTAGGTTTCTGGTCTATGATTTCCAAATCTTGCACTTTTCCCAGTGTTTGATTCTTTTTTCTCACCCATTGTCATTCTACTGTATTCTAAAAACATTCAAATATAATATGTTTAATGTCTTTATTAACTTGCTGTATATTTTTCAGCCTGTGGTTAAATTAATTTGCAACAGACACAACAATAAATACTCTTACACAAGGTAAGTACATGTAGTAGTGTGTATATAGTTATGTACTAAAAAAAGGAAAAGTTGTTTTATTTACGAAAAACAAATTTAATTTTCTAAAAGAAAAAGAAGAAAAAATTGGAAGAATCGTATATGATTTCTGCACACACCAAACGTTATACATGTACATCATGTACATACTGCAAGGAAGAAGCAATATGTCTGTAGCCAGCTAACAATACAGTTCAACTTAACGAAGGTCAGGAGAGTTTAGTGTTTTTTGTTTGATACCTATCTTTGATTTAAAATCCAACTACCCTATGAGATACATTATTTGTATCGAAAGTTTTGTAAATCAATTTCCTGTGGACTTTTATACTAGGACAGCATTAGGTCATTGTTGATGGCAAAATATATAGTAAAAATTAAATCAAATCAAAATTGTGAGTGCTTCAAATCAGAGGATATTTCTCTGAGGGATTTTGATTTATTAACACAAAGGTCAGTAATAAATGTCAATAATTTAAAAGATCCATTGAATTCTTACTAAGGATTCATTTGTTTTTGAAGAAAAAAATATGTTTTCGTAGATAGTTGATTTCGTGGATTTGCCAGTCTGCATACAAGCCTGTATAAAATGTATACTTCCATGAACATTTAAATTTGTGAGTCATCTATAAACATGAAATTCTAAAGAAAAATGGTACCTTATGGCACTGATAATAATAAATCCATAGTTTTTGAAGAAAAAAATGCACCTTTTATTTGAAATTATTTCTTATAAATATTTTTTTTGTGATTTTACAGCAATTCAGATGATAATTTACTGAAGAATTTAGAATTATTTGACAAGTTATCGTTGAGATTCAACAGAAGAGTTTTATTTATCAAAGATGTAATAGGTAGTAATGAGATATGTTGCTGGTTTTTCTTCGGACATGGTACAAAAATAGCAGAGGTGTGTTGTACATCTATAGTATATGGATCTGATAAGAAAAATACTAAGGTATGTTATTTTTACAATTAAGAAGGAAATGGTCAATGGTGCAACAGCCAGAAATAATCCGACAAACATGACAAAGGCACATTGAAACTAAAGTAACGCAAGAAAATTAAAATAATCATACTGATAATATGGCACCAATATTATGACTTTAGACAGTCAAGGGTATAACTCTATAGGGTTATTAAAGAAAAATAACATACATTTGTTATGGTGGACTAAAAAAATTAATCAATTTATTGTAAGAAATTATGATCAGAGCATGTAATGAGGTTCTGCGCAAGCTTCCAAGTAATTTCCAAGTGTCTCATATAATAAGTTACATGCCTGTAATAACTAAGCCTTGTACAGCTAAGTTTATCCTTTGCCTTGTCTCATTGATTTACCATGGTTGATAAAAAATGTATTAATTTAATTGGAAAATTAGTTATCAAGGCTATGTATAAAGTTACTGCGCAAAGTTTCAAGAATTCCCAAGTGCCCACTAAAAATTAAAATATTTATGATTTATCTAACAAATAACAAACATACGTTACTACAGATTAAGAAAATTTAAGGAATGAAGTGTAGACAACTCATGAAAGTATCTGTAATAACACATGTCTGATATTTTCTTTAATAACCCTATAGAGTTATACCCTTGACTGTTAGAGGTCTATGGGAGTTGTTACCATAAAAAACAAAAGCACAAAGCACAAACAATTTTAAAAAGTACAAAACTATTGAAGTAAAAGACAGAATAGGATAATTCAGCATTTTGACCTTACAGGTCTTTGTCAAAGGTTGTTGAATAGAAAATAAAACATCCACATCACATGATCACAGAGCAATGACTGCATAAGAGGTGTATACATGTATCCAGGTTAACTACTGTGAATTCAGAAATGTTTGCCATGTTTTCATTAATGCAAAAAATGCAACATTATCAGGTTTGCAATTATAAAAAATTGCATTTATAATTTCAGTTGTGATTTTCATTCATCAAAATTTTTGCAATCATATTTGTTAGATTTCACATTTTTGTCAGAAGGCAAGGATTCACAATACATGTTATAGGCCCTGTTATACATTAGAAGTTGGTTAGTATAATAAAAGGAAAATTAGAATGAATTAACCACATAGAACCCTTACACACTTACTTATTAAATGCACAAGAACAACACTTGTAATGCTGTTCTCTAAGTCACAATGAGGCTTTGTTCTACTACAAAAAGTCTATGTATCTTCATTATTTTCTAATGCTGTTACATTTTTCAAATTTATATTTTTCTTACTAAAGGTTGAATTCCCTGAAGCCAGGATTTATGAAGAGACATTAAATGTTTTACTGTATGAAAATAGAGATAAAGGTCCTGATCAGGAATTGATGCAGGCTACTAGGGGATATACTGTTGGTGTTAATGGGTACCAGAGTGACGAAGAGGTAGATGACAAAGAAAGACGTGGACGGCGAAAATAAAGATTTCATATTGTAAAATTGAATATTGCTTAATTGATTTGTTTAGGCTGCATCTGTGATGTAAATGTTCTATGTCCGTATCATGTCTAGTCATTTTGGATATGTTTTTATCATATTGATAAAGGATATTCTGTTCTGTCACACAAAGAAACATTCATATTTTCTTATCCTTTTCATGTGGTCTTTTTGTTGATAGTTGTCTCATTGGCAATATACCACATCTCTTTATTTTCATATGTGTACCTTGTATTTGATTATTTTCATGTTTCTTTTTTACAAAACAAACTAGTGAATGTTTTGGTTTATTTCAATCGTGTTAACATTCATATTTTCATTTATACTACGGTAATAATAATTTTTTTTTTTAATATTTATACTTCAGATTTTGAGAAGTTTAGATTTACCCTTTTTTTTAAATATCTATAAACAAAAGGGTTTCTTTTGTTTAAAGTAATGATATGAATTTCTTTTTTCTTTTCTTTTTATGTTTATTTATAATTTAAATTAACAGCATTATAGTAAAAAAGACATACCACAATCAATGTTAAAAAGGGGGAATAACTGTGTTTGGAATTGGGACTACTAGAGTTATCTTCCATTTACTGTAGTAGTTTGTGAGGATAAAAACCAAACATAAATTATTATTGTTTTGTTACATTTATTTATACAGATCTTAAGAACTTGATTGTGCAGATGTAATATTTATTTGTTTGTAAATATTATGAATCAAATGAGTTTACACATACATTTCAAGAAAGACTTCATCAAAATGAACACTGCAAAAAATAAAATGACTTACAATATATTTTATAGATCAGTTTTATTTACAATAAAGTTACTTTGGTCAATCAGTGTATTGGTCTGTGGTCAATCAGTGTATTGGTCTGTGGTCAATCAGTGTATTGGTCTGTGGTCAATCAGTGTATTGGTCTGTTGTTGCAATGACAAAATATTGTTTACTGTTTCTCTATATTTAAAGCTTTCAGTTATTAAATAAAATTGTTATACATGCTTTTGAATTTCTTGAATTGTCCATCATTTCTTGTAAAAATTTAATAGAATTCAGAGTTGCATTCAGCAGTGGGCATTAGAAAAGTTACCCCAAAATTTTAGAATTAATAACCTTTATTTTGAAACTAGAGCGTAATGAGCAGGTTAAATTTTCCTGTGCAAATATTTCTACCTTTGTGTGTCTAAAATGTTTAATAACTGCTCCCTATTGTTAATCATTGTAAAAAAGCTGCTATGGATATATTGTTAACGGGGTACATGTTCATCTGTCCATTTATTGTCTCGCTTGCAACATAAATCGCCGATTACAAGACATAGGGATTACAATCTGGCTGCAGTGACTATTTGTATAAAGTTTAAAATATTTCAAAGGGTGGAAGATCTGGATGCTTCATACCTTGTACATCAAACTGTATACAGATGCGTTATGAAACGATGTTTCTACTGTCATATGTCTATTGTCCTTGACCTCATTTTCATGGTTAAACAACTGCTCGTTGATACATCAGCTGAGATAAGAGATTACAAAGGAATGCATAAAAACACACATTAGACCCATGGAAGGCTCTTTGAAATATCAATTGTTATTGGATGATTTTGTGCAGTGAAAATGTAATAGAAAGTCTAAAAATAGACTAAAATATATAGATGGTTACCCCAGTTTCAAAGTGCCTTCCGTGGATATCTTGTAATTTAAAATGATGGAATGTCAAAATCTGATTTGATCTAAAAATTTGTATTCTTGTTTCCTGTCTCCTGGGAGAAAAATAACAGTAGGTAGGTCAAAATGTCAAAATTTATAAAGTGCTTTAATAAAAGTTCAGAAATTGTGTTAAGATGGGTTATGCTAATTCAAGAAATATATATTCAAATTTTTTTTCGTGTCTGGTAAAAAAAAATACCATTTTTAGCTCATCTGCAATCACTTGTCATCTGTCATCGTAAACTTTTAAATCTCCATTAAAATGCTGGGCCTAATGTAACCAAACTTTACATGAATGTTTCCTAAGAGAAACTAGTTGAAAATTGTATCTTTGATTCTTCAACAAACATGGCAACTGTTGTTAAAAAAAGAACAGGTTATGTTCTTCTCATATATTTTATGATGGTATAATACTAAACCCCTAACAGGATGGAATGTGCCTGATATTCATATGATAAAGACATAATCTTTCAATCGGTTTAATTGAGGTCTGGAGCTGGCATGTCAGTAACTGCTAGTAGTCTGTTGTTATTTATGTATTATTGTCATTTTGTTTATTTTCTTTTGTTTCCTATTCTGACATCGGACTCAGAATTCTCATAAACTGAGTTTTACTGTGCGTACTGTTGTACGTTTGTTTTTTCTACATTGGCTAGAGGTATAGGGGGAGGGTTGAGATCTCAAAAAACATGTTTAACCCCGCCGCATTTTTGCGCCTGTCCCAAGTCAGGAGCCTCTGGCCTTTGTTAGTCTTGTATCATTTTTAATTTTAGTTTCTTGTGTATAATTTGGAGTTTAGTATGACATCCTTTATCACTGAACTAGTATACATATTTGTTTAGGGGCCAGCTGAAGGACGCCTCCGGGTGCAGGAGTTTCTCGCTGCATTGAAGACCCATTGGTGGCCTTTGGCTGTTGTCTGCTCTATGGTCGGGTTGTTGTCTTTTTGACACATTCCCCATTTCCATTCTCAATTTTATTGTAGAGCAAAATTGACTGAATAAAAATGATCAGCAGGTTAAGGTATATCTCACATGAATTTTCTAGAAAAATCAGGAAATAGAAAATAAAAGGATATGAAATTTACTGTGCGTATTCCATTTTGGAAATATTTTCTTAAATGTTTTTTTTTTTTTTTGGCAAATTTCAAAGTTTTTTTTGTAATTATCTTAAAAACTATAACAGCTACATCATAGAGAGAAATATTAAACCACAAAAATTACCAGAATAATAAGATCTACAAATAAGTAAACTTGACAAGAATTGGCTCCTTATAGACTTTGTTGCCATTGAATTATGATTTTTTACCCTTTTTTTGCAGAAACCAAGATAGATTCTTTTATAGTAAAAACGTTCAAAAAAGTAAGACATGCAAATAAGTCAACATGACAGGAATCGTCCATTGAACACTTCTAAGATATTTTGCCCTAGAAAGATGATTGTTACCAATTTTTGCACAACAATAATAGAGAAAGAAACTGTCAATAGTATAAAATGTTCAGCAAAATAAGATCTACAAATAGGTAACTTTGCAGAAATCGTCAATTGACCCCTTATAGGAGCTGTTGCTCTTGATAGCCGTTTTTCCCCTTTTTTGCATTTTTTAAGAAACTAGATAGATAAGAGATAGAGATATTTTTTAAGCAAAACTGTTCAGCAGTTCAAATATTAAGATCTACAAATAAGTTAACATGCTGAAATCGTTAATTGAACCCTTTTAGGAGTTATTGCATTTGAAAGATGACTTTACACATTTTTGCAGAAACCATAAGAAATAGAGAAAAATAGTAAATAACAATATTAGATCAACAAATTGCAATAAAAGTAAAAAAAATATCATAATGGCATACTTTACCAGTTGAGCAATTCAGGCTCTTAGTAGTCTCTTGTTCTTTTATTTTAAAAAAAGTGACTACCCTTATATACCAACAGACATTTGAAGATTACTTCACCTTATAATGAAGAGAGAAGTAGTATCCTAAAATAATTGACACAATTTTAAATTCACCAACTTGTCTTTTTTTTTGGGGGGGGGGGGGGGGGGGGGGGTTAATTATAAGTAAATTATCATATTGATTTAGTTACTTTCTTGCTGGACTTATTCCCCTTTCATCCATTATATACTAGGTGCATTCAAAATGCAATTCATCTGTGGTGTTTTAACTAATACTTTTCATCGTTTGAAAAATAGATGTTTTGGTTATAACAGATGTAAATGGTGTCTTCCTTCATCTCTTCATTGCAATCCGATTAGTAAGAGTGTGCATGTTAAAAATACCATCAGCGTGTTAGTCTAGTAAAATACATGCAGGATTTAACCCTGGTGCATTTTAAAACATGTTCTTATTCTGAATATGTATGAACTACTTTCTGCTGGATACTCAACAACCATTCACCAATCCATCCAATCACCTTTTAGTAAGGTGTTGAAAAACACAACCGTATTATGCAACGGAAGATGCTTTAAATTGCACATCCGTAGTCGGATATTTTTTTTTAATTCCTACCGACATACGGGCCTACCCTGTTTTCTACACATACCACATCTTATATCTACCTTGCTTTCTGCCTGAACCTTGAAGGTCACATGTGTATTGTAGACTATGATTCCTAACAAGAGTAGATGTATACATAGCCATGTCATATGATAACTCATTTCAAGTACTACTTGTGTAACATATGGAATAAATTAAGGCTCACTTTACTTGAAACACTTCAACAAGTGTTTGAAATCTGATGCAGTTCATATTGAATACAAGCCTGTGCTTCAAGTGTTTGAAGAAATGGGAGCGACAGTTGGCATTTGACACTCATAAACACGTTTATTCCCCTACAATTACATTGACAGAAGTGTAAAATTGATTACAATCTAAGTTTAAATAAGCTGTGGAAAGTTTGTCTCCTTAGCAATGATACCACATCTCTATCTAGTACTCAAACCTAGTTATTGACTTTTATTACAACACATGATTGAGTTTGTTCAATGAAGCTTAGTTTTATTCATTGGACAATTAGATCAGCATCACCTTTGTTAAGGGCATACGATACAGTTACAGGGGAGGTGAAGACGTTGCTAACGTAAATTGTTATTTTCGCGACGTCAAACGTTGACTTATCGGGAAAATATGCAGTTTTCGGCTGATTTTTATCATTCAAACTGATTTAACTTGAAAACGAGTTCATGGACCCCTCTTTTTTAAAATGACATTTGGTTTGATTACGTAAGAAGGTTATGTGTACCAATTTTCATGAAAACGTTAATAGTGCAATTTTTTTTAATTTGATTAATATACAGCAAAAAATGACGGTTTTTTTCTACATTCATGAACATTTGAGAATTTGAGTTATTTGTAAAAATAAAATGTACAAATTTATACAATATTTATATAACACATTAATTACAAATTATTTAACAAAAAACAGCTCGTGTTTATCTTTTAAAACAAAAAAGTTATGTATTTCTATCGAAAGGAAAAATAAGTCCATAAATCCGTATTTTGAGAAAATATCTGAAATTTGAACCTCAATTTACTCAAAAAGTAGCACATGAAGGGATATTTTTTATTACATATTTGATTTAATCAGGTAAAAAATAGCCTACATGCAAATTTTTATCAAAATTTCAATATGGGATCAAAACTGTATCGTATGCCCTTAACCATACCTAATAAAAGAGAACAATCATTATTACCAACAAGTCATGCCATAGGACGAGCAACAAAGGGATGAGTGAAAACCCTATTTGGTCAGTTTGTTTCTGTATTTACACTAGTTAAGAAAGACTCTATGGGTCATCAAACAAAAAAGCAAACTTGATATTTAAGCACAAAGGACACGCTCGAATAGTTCAGCGGTACTGATTATCCTGCAATTTTCTATGACGGAGTACTTGTCCTAAAATAGTTTTCACTTTATCTGTTCTTATATACTAGCACTATATATCCACTTATATTTGAAAAAAAAACGTAAAAGAAAAATGTGAAAGATTTAACCTGTTGAGAAATCCTGTTCAATTGAATCGTGTTAAGCTTATGACTCACAGTACAGGTGTACTCGCTCTTGCGCTAATTCTGATTTTCTAGTCAGTACCTATACAGCGGAAATGCTTCATCGAATGTCAACTCGTCTGTGCATTATAATAAAATTCCCGAGTGATCAGATGTTTTACCTTCTTTACAAACAGTTAATGTACCAGACCATATACAGTCAACCATATAGCATTGTGTATTGTTAGTTTCAACTGACAACACAGTTCTTGGCTTTACAAGAACATGTATCGACCTTCACGGTGCAATGAC